CCCACCCCCCCACCCCCACCTTCAAACCCAGCTCGACCCCTACATCCTCCAGGAAGGCTTCCTTAACAAACCCCTTCTGTCTTCAGCGTCTCACACATACATCTCTTGCTACACTTAGTTTTTTTTTAAAGATTTCATTTTTATTTTTAGAGAGGGAGGGGAGGGAGATAGAGAGAGAGAGAAACATCAATGTGCGGTTGCTGGGGGTCATGGCCTGCAACCCAGGCATGTACACTGGCTGGGAATCGAACCTTCGACACTTGGGTTCGCAGCCCGTGCTCAATCCACTGAGCTATGCTAGCCAGGGCTTACACTTAGTTTTGTAATTTGTCTTCACATCCACCCGCCCTTCCCCTTAGTCAGCTCTGTTGATTCAGGGGCTATTTCGTTGTCTTTGCATTCTTGGTGCCAGGTCGGGGTAAAGCAGGCACATAACGTGTCTCTGTAGGGCTCAAGAGTATTTTTTTTATTTTATTTCTTTATTTTTAGAGAGACAGGAAGGGAAGGAGAAAGAGAGGGAGAGAAACATCAACCAGCTAGCTGCCTCTCGCACGCCCCCCACCCCAGCATGTGCTCTGGGCTTCCTTTCCGAGTGTCTCCTTCGACATTTGTCACGCCCAGTGAGGCAGGTGGGGCAGGACAACAGGTCTCTACGGAGAACGGGACATTAGCTTTGCATAATGCCAGGCTCTGGCAGGGGACATTTATCTGCACTTTCACCGTCTGTGATTCTCGGTGCCCCGCACACAGAATCGCTGGGAGAATCCGGCCTGCGTCTGAGAGCTCAGGAAACGTGCCCAGGACGTGCAGTCTGGACGGATTATAGGAGGTACTGCTGGCAAGGCCAAACCTCACGTTGTTCCCAGTACAGACCCCTGGCGTGCCCTGGCAGATGGACGAAGTCTGCCTCCACGCACACGGACCTGTTTCTGTAGGCTCCGCTATCTGGGTCAATCCTTCCCCTTGTTTAAAAAAAAAAAAAAAAGCTGAACACAGTCTGTTGTATTACGTTTAATATCCCATTAGAGACATTTCTTTTTTTAAAGATTGTATTTATTTATTTTTAGAGAGGGGAGGGAGGGAGAAAGAGAGAGAGAGAGAGAGAGAAATATCAATGTGCAGTTGCTGGGGGTCATGGCCTGCAACCCAGGCATGTACCCTGGCTGGGAATCGAATCTGCGATGCTTTGGTTCTCAGCCCATGCTCAATCCACTGAGCTACGCCAACCAGGGCTGAGACATTTCTTTTTAGTCTTTAGAATCAGAAAATTGGCCTTTCAGGAAGAGTCAATCTCTCCCTTTGATCGCATAACAGAAATAAAATGAGCTCTTCATGTTTACCTTTTCTCTCTGGCTGCCAGGAAGCTCAGAGGTAAGTAATAGCACTACAGTACGAATCAGAGTCAGAATATTTCCTTCTCACTCCTGTGTCCGTGGCTCCTTCCAATGAAACCTTGTTGGGTCCTTTATGAGAAGGGCACACGTAAATCAGCATTTCTGTAACAGTTCTGCTGAGAGAACTGGGAAAGGACCCAGGTTTAAGAGCTGAAGGCTTGGGCCAATCCCTCACCCCCTCTGAGCCTCAGGCCCCTCCTCGGCAGCCCTGGGAAAGCGGCCTCTCTCCTGTGAGGGCTGCTACTGCCTCGGGGAGGTCACGGGGTCTCAGTCAGCACCATCCCTGCTGAGGCTCTGAAGCTCCCGACCTTGAACACGTTCACGCTTCAGACCTAGTGTGGCTAGAATTTTTATTCGTGTAGAGGAGTCGGAAGAAGAGATTTTCGCGTGTAATCTCCTGACATAAATGCTGCCACCTAATGTGCATTTTTTTCAAAACACTGTGTTGGACAAACTGCACTTGGCTGCTGGCCAGATCTCTCCGAGGCCCCCCCGCCGGTCAAGCCCAGCCCGCCCCCCACACAGGCTGCCGGGCGTGTTCTGGCTGGGGGCGGGGCAGCCGTTTACACCGTCTCTTCCGAACCCTGTCTTCCCCACCCCCACCCCCACTGCCCCCCACAACATCCCAAGAAACCTGCCTTGTTCTGAGAAACCCCAGCCCAGGTCGACTTGACCCAAGGGGGCCCCGACTCAAGCGGGATCGTGCGTAGGTCCCTACCCCGGCCTTGGGGGACTGATTTGAAATGGGCGCCTCGCCCGAGATGAGCGGATGAACCCCTCCCGCGGGCGCGTTTTTGCTGGACGCCAGAGAGGAGCAGGGAACTTTCCGCGGTGCCCGAAACAGTAAGATGATGCAAAACTCAGCCAGTTGGCTGCTACGTCGTCCGTGGTGGGGCTGGGGGCGTGGCCAGTGAGGAGGGTGCGCAGACGTAAGAATACAAATCTGTGAGAGAGATGCCCCCATCCATGCGGCTCAGTACGTTGGGCGCCATCCCGCAAACCGAAAGGTCCCCAGTTCGATTCCCAGTCAGGGCGTGTGCCTGGGTTTTGGGCCAGGTCCCCAGCTGGGGCACCCACGAGAGGCAACCTATCCATGTATTTCTCACATGTCGTTGTTTCTTTCCCTCTCTTTCTCCCTCCCTTCTCGTCTCTCGCAAAACATTCAAAAAACAAAAAACCAACGGAGCCCTGGCTGGTGTGGCTCAGTGGACTGAGTGCCGGCCTGAGAACCAAGGGGTCACTGGTTGGAATCCCGGTCAGGGCACAAGCCTGGGTTGCAGGCCGGGTCCCCAGTGGGGGCCCACGTGAGACCCAACCACACATTGATGCTTCTTTCCCTCTCTCCCTCCTCTCCTCTCTCTCTAAAAGTAAAGAGTAAAATAAACTAAAAATAAATAAGCACACAGCCGAGAGAAAGACCTCTAGGGGGTCCGCGCAGGGCCCCAACCTCCCGTCCTCGTGATAATGTCCCCTTCTCACCCAGACGAGTCGAGCGGGGTGTGCGTCCCCTCGGTCATCGGTCCCAGCACAGGCCTGTGGCTTCCGCACGGGCCCTTCCCGGCCTGCCCCTGACCGTGGCTGGGAGACAGCTTTCTGACAACCAGGGCGGCCCTGAGCTTCTGGGCCTGGCCTCGAACCTGCACGCTGAGGTCGGCACCAAAGGAGGTCCAGAGCCTCAGCTGTAAGGGGTTTTCTCCCTCGGGGAGGGGAGCCCAGGATACACTGGGGCTGGCACTGGGAGAGAAACCGAGGCAGTGCGGCACTGTCTGCCCAGCGGGTGGTGCTGGTCCCCCCCATTCTTGTGCAGGGTGATCTGAAGGGCCCCACCCTCCACTGTGTCCTTGGAGCGCAGGGACCTGTCTCACCTGTTCCCCACCTTCCAGGGTGAGCACCCACTCAGCTGCCTGCCTGCCTCTGCTCACACGCTCACCCATCTCTGGCGGTTCCTGTCCACCCTCGCCTGCCTCAGACTCCCGGTCCCAAACCCAGGTGGCAGTCACCGCGGGTCACACTGGGTGGGTCACTTCTCCCTGAGCTTGGTTCCTCCTCTGTGTAACAGTGTCCTCAGTACCTCTCGTTTCTCGCCCATCCCTTCCCCTCCTTTAGGGAACAGCCGCTACCCACTCCCCCGCAGACCACGTGGTCAGTAGCGCTGGCCGCGCCCCACCCCCGCTCCAGTGGAGGGTACCAGAGCCATCCGGCACTCTGGGTGCCCCGCCTCTCGGGCTCATGGGCCCTGGGGCTCGTGGGAGCCACACCCTGAACTTCGGCTGGAACAAGACACACGCCGTCCCCTGAAGTCAAGGCGCCAAGGGCCACGTGAGCGAGAGCACCTTACCCCTGCGTGGAGACAGTCCCCGAGAGAATGAAGCGAGACCGAGCGAGACAGAGCAGTGTAGAGAGGGCAGGTCCCAGTGACCTCCTAGAGGCCCAGGGTCCAGCCTGCGTCCAGAACCGAACCCTTTTCTAAGCTGTTTTCAGTGTGGCTTCTTGTGCTGCCTGCAAGAGTCCTGGGCAGTAGTGCAGGGGGAGCTGCCTGGCGTGGGGGTTCAGCCCTGGGAGGCCTAGACGCAGCAGGGCCGGAGCCGGGCCAGGGTGAGGCAAGAGAAGTGCCCAGGGCCTGGCACTGAAGGGGGCACTCAGCTGTGACCCCCCCCTGAGGGGCCTCTCTGGCCTCACCCTCACCCTGGTCTGCAGGACAGCTCCTGGCTTTGCCCAGGGAGGAGGGGCAGCACGCCCCTCAAGGTGAAGGAAGACAGCTCTGCCCTCGCTGACTCCTTAGCGGGGGCACCTGCAAGAATGAGCCCTGGTCTGGGGTCCGGAGAGCCTGTCCACCCCTCAGCCCACCGCCCCGTGGCCTCAGGCAAATCCCTATGAGAATGGAATGGTAGCTGTCTCACCTGTTCCCCACCTTCCAAACAAGTGGAGTTTTTAAACGGACATGCCGCCACCCAGCTAAAAGACTACAGTTCCCAGCCTCCCTTGCAGCTAGGAGTAGCCACGTGACTAAGTTCAGGCAGGGATAGCAGGGGAAGGAAGAGGTACAGCCATCTGGGAGGAGGCAGCCCCTTCCGTCCTCCGGTGCCCTGCGGCTGGGCATGCAGAGGGTCCTCCTGCATTGGGCCGACGTCCCAGGCACAGACGCTGCCAGAGGAGAGCAGCTCGGGTCCCTGAGGATGCATGGAACCAGCCGCTAGACCAGCTCTGGACGAGCTCCTTATGGAGCGAACCATGAGAAAGACAGGATGCTATGTCATTTAGGGCGCTGCTCTTTTGCATTTCTGTGCCTCAGTTTACGTTCTAACTGGCTCCCTACCCCAGGGATCCCCGTTAGCCATTTTGGTTGTCCCAACTGGGGGTGGGGGCAGGTGCTACTGGGTAGAGACCCAAAGGTGCCCAACATCCCACAGTGCACGGCACAGTCCCCCTGACAGAGGACGGTCTGGGCCAGAAGTCTGCGGAGCTGCTGCCGAGAAGCCCCGCTCCACCCTCTCTGACGTTCAGTGTTCCCGCCCACCCTCGTGTTTCCTGAGCGGTCCCCTGCGAGGTGACAGACACGCGCCTACCGTCAGGAAAGGCCACAGTCCCGCAGAGATGCTCACGACGTCTTTTTATTGCAATAAATTAAGATGGAAGCCCCAGAGGGAGAGAGCGAGGCAGGTTGCCGATCTGTGTCCACCACGAGGCAACAGCGCCCCACACGGGAGGCGGGTTCAGGGTGGGGGTGCGGGGCTGGGGGACCTGGCTCAGGAGCAAGGGCAGGGGGAGGGGGCGGGAGCTGCCGTGGGTGACCCCCAGACTGTCCACAGAGCTCACCCCATCCCCACGCCTCCTGCCTGGGACCCTCAGTCCCCCCTCAAACACACATCTCCTCCCCCCACGTGTCTCCCCACTTCCCCCAGACTCTCTCTCTGTCTCTCTCTCTGTCTCTCTCTCACACACACACACACACACCTCCTTCCCCGTGGCCTTGCCCCTCTAACAGCCCTCCACACACACCAGTGCCAAGTCTGAGCCCAGAGGGGTGGGGGCTGGTCCGGACCAAGCTGACCCCCGTCCAGATGGGGCCCTTTCCTTGGGTCAGCTTGGAAGCAGCCACCAGGAGCTGTGGGGTCCGTGGTGCCGCTGGGTGGAGCAGGGACCCGAGTGTGACTGGAGACTGAGTGGGAACGTGGGAGCCCTGGAGGCTCGGGACTCCACGTGGAGGGAGGGACAGGAGTGCCGGGCAGCACAAAGGCACTGGGGGCCAGTGGGGGTGTCCCAAGAGCCGGGGAAGGCGGGCACGGGGTGAGCTAGCCTGAGGCGGGGAGCCCCAGCCCTCAGCCAGCGGCAGCAACACCTCCGAGCACCCAGGTGCCCCATCTTTCCACAGCCAGGGTCCGCCCCAAGCACCCAGAGACATCTGCTGGGATGGAGGGTCCGGAGGCCCGGAGGTCGTCCTCCCTTTGCCCCAGGGTCTCCAAGCCGGGTGGGGCCGGGGAGGGTGCCCGGGGCCCCAGCCCCAGCCCAGAGCCTTCAGCTCAGACCTCTGGGCCTCCGAAGGCCAGGTTGTCGCGGACCATCAGTGTCTTGCGGAGGTCGCGGTCCACCGCGGGGCGCTGCATACGCCACTTGTGCGCCTCCTGCAGGCCGGGCTCGAAGTAGTAGATGCAGGCGCCGAAGCCCACCAGGATGAGGACGGAGATGACCAGGTAGACCGGCACGAACCAGTCCAGGAAGTGCGGCATCGCCGTGGCCCCAGCTGCTGAGACAGAGGTGGTGAGGGCCGGCAGAGGTGACCCGTGTCCTGCCCGCCAGCCCAGGAGGTCCGCAGAGGTTCCCAGAGCCGAGGGAGTCTGAGCATCACTTTCTAGATGGGAAGCCTGAGCAGGAACAGACCCCCAGGACAGGCACGGAGCTGCCCCCATCACGGGTGGCCCAGCCCCTCTGCAGCACAGTGCCCCAGCTCAGGCAAGGTGCCCAACCTCTCCGGGCCTCGGGGTCCTCCCCTGCGGAAGGGGACCTCCTGGGGAGCCTCCTGGGGATCATTGAGGCGACGGACCCCCTCAGAGCACTCGGTAAAGGAGAGCGCGGGCGATGCCTCCTCTGAGCTGCACCGGCTGCGCAGTTTAGTTACAGAGGCCGCCGCCGCCAGCCCCCTCACAGATGGGCGGGTCCCCGGCCGCCCACACATCCTGGCCAGGTGCGGCTGGCGAAAGCGTGGCAACCAAACACCCGGCCCCGGGGGACCTGGTGGAAATCAACAGGGGCCACAAAGGCTCCCGAGCTCAGGCCCACGCCCGACGTCAACATTATACTGAGTACAGACACGGGCACCAGCCCCCAAACGTGGGCCTCGGTTTCCACGTCTGTAAGATGGGAACAAAAATGGTGCCAAAGGCCGTGAGGCTGTTGTGACTGTTACGTGAATGAATGGATGTGAAATGCTCAGAAGCAGTGCCTGGCACAATATAAGTGCTATACGGTAGTTTGTTTTTATTTTCTGAGACTCAGTTTGCCTTTCTGGGAAAGAGGGAGGCTCAGAGTAGGACCCACTTCTTAAAGGTTTGGGGTGAGGAGCCCCCTCTGCTTGCCAGGAAGGGAGAGAACGGCAGGCCTGTGGGGTGGGGGTGGCTGGCCCCGCAGGACGGAAACTGAGGCCCAGGTGGGTTCGCTCGCTCGGCCTGGGTCATCCAGCTGGGAGCTGGACCCAAGCCCCAGTGACGTGCTGAGGTTCGAGTCCTCCCAGGGGAGGGGGGAGGGAAGACACATGAGCAGGAGCCCACCTTGGCTTCTGCGGGGAGAGAAAGGGTCCGGATGGAATGACCCCAACTTCTGGGACGCCTGTCTCCAAATGCCACCTGCTCTTGTGCCCCTACCTCCAGGCAGGTCTGCAAGGCGGGCTGCAACCCAGGGGAGGGACAGATGCTGCTTGCCAGTCCTGCACCCATCTGGAGCCCCGCCCCTGCACCCCAGGGTCCCTACTCGCTGTTCTGAAGCACAGACGTCTCAAGGCGCTCTGTTCCTGGAGGAGCAAGTTGAGGACTGCTCTAAAGGCATGCAGTCAGGCTAGCACAGGGCCCTCCTCCCCGTCTGCCTTTCTGGAGCACCAGGGGTAGAGGTCACAATTGCCTGGTGCTGCCTGCGGGGGGGGGGGGCGGGCCCACTGGGAAGGGGGTCCCCGAGCAGCAAGGCTGCTCCAAACCCGCCTGACAAGAGCCAAGGTGACTCGTGCCCCCTCCCCGGCCCCAGCCAAGACCCTTGTCCCCTTCCAGCTTCAACACGAGAACGGGGTGCTCGGGCGGAGTGGCCGCTGTTTCAGCTGCAACGTGTGGCTCTGTGAGGCTGAGTTCGGGGCCCCCCACCCCCTCCGGCCCTGTGAACAGAATCCCAGGCACTCAGGGGCAGACTGAGGACCCCTAGCCTGTGCCGGGCTTCTTGGTGGACCGGCCTAGTTGGAGCCAAACACTCACTGGCCTTCTCTGTGACCTCGGGCCACCCCTCACCCTCTCTGGACCTCAGGGTTCCCCAGCACAGTGACAGGGGTGCGGCGCGGGGTTATCAGGTGACCTGTAAGGAATTTTCCAGTTCCATTCCAGCCAAGCTCCAGGACAGTGTACGGGCTGCAGACCCCCCTCTCTCCCTGCCTCCCGAGCCACCGGCATCACTCGGCCCCCCACCCACCGCGTGCCCACAGACCCACCTCACGCCCTGCAGAGAGACGCCTGGTCCGGGGCTCTGCACTGAGCTCACCACCTCGGCCCGAGCAGCTCAGCGGTTCAGCATTGGCCCTCGGACTTAGTCACAGCTGCCGTTCCCAGAGACACTGCCATCTGCGGCCGTCCTGGGTGCTGGAGGCAGAGAAAGGGTGAGGCCAACGCCCCCCACGGGAGACAGAGCTTCTCAGGCCCTGAGCTTCTGGCTGGGCCAGCAGGGAAGAGTCCTGGACTGGTTCGGCACCCTGGTACCTCTCCCTGTCCATCGGAGACCCCTCCCTTGCCCCCCACCCTCAGGATGTCAGGAGGCGGGACCTGTCTCAGCCAATCAGCAGCCTGGCAGAGCAAGGGCTTTATCCTCCGTTGCCTTGGCAACCATCCCTTTCTTCTGGATCCCTGGCACTGTGCACGTGGTGCAGTGATGACAGACAGGGCGGGTTTGGGGGAATCCGAAGAGGAGTGGGAGCCGCCCGCCCAGCAGGTCACTCGGCCCCATAGCTGGAGGGCCTGGAGAGGAGGGGACCCCAACCGGGACACATGGGAGGGTTTAGAGGCCTGCCAGTTGAGAGTAGGGAGAGATTGGGGTCCCTGGCAAGTGGGTGGGGACACGAGTGGTTATCAGTAGAGCCAATGAGGCCATAGGTTACAGAGGGTGCAACAAAGATGGAGGCCGAGAGTCTGGCGCATGGGTCCCACATTGCTTTCGTCTCGGGCCAGACCCCGTTTTCAGCGCTTTATTCACGTTAACTCATTCATCCGTCACGCAGCAAGAAAGCGATGACGCCAGGGATGGAGCCCTGGTCTGGCTCCTGCGCGGCGGCTGCCCCTCCCCGTTCTGCTGCCTCACCAGCCCCACCGCCCCCCCCCCCCGGCTGGGATACGGCCTAAGAGAGTTGTGGGTCCCGGACCCTGAGCACCCCCATATGCCAGGCACGGCCCCCCCATATTTGTCCTCCAACTTGGTTGCTGTCGTGAGCCCACTGCAGGGTGAGGTGGCTGCAGCTCGGAGAGGTGACGCTGTCTACCTTCTTCCAGGCCACCCGGCCTCACAGCAACAAAGCGGGGGAGGGAGTGGGGGTGGGGCCGGCCTCCCGAGCCTGGGTCCTCCTTCCTGTGTGACAGACAAAGTGTCTGCACAGCTGGGTGCCCTGCGTGTACTCCTTAAACCGCAATGGCTTTTGTCTCAGGAGAGAGTGGCCCCAGAGGCCCACGGGGTGGAGAAGAGGCTGTCCCCAAGGAGTCCATTCCCAAAAACCTGAGGACAGGCAGGTGGGACAGGCCGTGAGCGAGATGACTTCAGCACGCTGGGCCCCCCAACCATAGACACCCTGCCCGCTCCCGGCCCCTGCAAGCGTGCTGGGTCCTCTCCAGCACGAGCAGAGCATGCAGAGGGAGTTAGTCCTCGCAGAGAGCTTTCCAGGGGGACACGAGGTACATACATGGAAATACACACCTTACGGCGGGAGTTTTTACCTGCGCGCACACCTGTGCGACCACCGCCCAGACCGACGTCCAGGATATTCCCGCCGCCCCAGGCAGTGTCCTGCCACCTGTGCCCCCGTCAGCACCCCTCCCCACAGGCACTCGCTGCCCTGACTCCTACCACCACAGACTGGTTCTGCCTGTGTCTGTGCTTCCTACCCGTGGGACCACACAGGGTGCGTTCTTCTCCTGTCTGGCCTGTGGCCCCGCACAGGGCTCTCGCTATCCGCTCACGCCGCGGGTATCGGTGCGCCGCGGCCTGTTTGTCCCTCCACCGCTGAAGGACGCCGTTCGGGTTGTTTCCAGCGCTGGGCTAGTGTGAGCAGAGCCACCCCAGTGCTTCTCCCCAGTTTGGAGTGGGAGGGCAGGGAGGAGACGGGGGAGGGACGGCCAAAGGGCACGGAGAAACCGTGGGGCGGGGAGGGGGGATGGGTTTGTTCATTCTCCTGATTGCAGTGGTGGTTTTCTAGATGTGCACATGTGTCGTAGCTTATCAAACTGTATGCTTTAAATATGCGTAGCTTATTATAAGTCAACTATAATAAATCTGTAAAAAAATGTGATCAGTGGCCTTTAGATATTGTTTTAGCCTATGATTCCTTTAAAGATTTTTTACTTATTTATTTTTAGAGAGGGAAGGGAGGGAGAAAGAGAGAGAGAGAGAGAAACATCAATGTGCAGTTGCTGGGGGCCGTGGCCTGCAACCCAGGCATGTGCCCTGACTGGGAATCGAACCTGAGATGCATTGGTTCGCAGCCCGCGCTCAATCCACTGAGCTACGCCCAGCCAGGGCTAGCCCATGATTCTTTATTCACACAAAAGCTTATGGGAAGCTCATTGGCCAGAGCTGCTTTGTTAAACAGAGGGATGGGGCTTCTGGACCCCAGCCTCGCAGCTGCCCCCTGCCCCTCACACTGCCCCAGGGACATGGCCCCAGGGCCCCACAGGAGGCCCAGAGGGTCTCTGAGGCCCTGCCAGCTCACGGTGTTCTTGCCACGAAACCTCCAGGCCTGAGTCTGGCCTTCCTGCCAATCTCCGCTGTTCCTCACGCTCTGGACCCTACACATGGTTATTTGCTGTGGCACCGGTGCACGTGACGAGCACCCAGTCACCTGACACCTAAGCCAACAGCCACCTCCCCACTGCAGTGTCGCACGAGCTCCCAAGGCATCCTTCGTGCATCTTCGTCTGGGCTCCTGCTGCTCCGGGTGGCTGCCACCCACTGTGCCGCATGTGGTTGTTGTCATCTGCTCATCCGCCACGGACAACTCCCTGGAGCGGGGATGACATGTCCCGTGCTGGGGTCATTCCCCCAGCACCAGGGGCCTGGCCCAGGCCCATGGCAGGCACCCAGCACGTGCTGGATGAATGGCTCGGCTCAGTCCCTCCTCGAAAGGGATGACCAGGGTCCAGAGTTTTCCCATGACTCTCTCAGGGCCTCAGTCACCTGGCCCTCGGTCACCTCTGTGGCCTCATCGCCTCCCACCCTCTCCTCTCTCCATCTGCGTCAGCCGCGGGCCTCCTTGCAGTTCCTCTGAAGAGCCAGGAACGCTTCCCCGGGGGTCTCAGCACTGGCTGCTCCTGCTGCCCGAAGCCTCTGCTCCGATGCAGGTAAACTGGCTCCTCTCACTGAATTCAGGCATTGGCTCCAATGCCGCCTTCTTCCAGAGGCCTCCCCTGACCTGGAGCAGCTTCTTCCTACCCACCTCTATGTACCCCCTCGCCTGCCTTGCTTTATTTGCATGGTGCTCATCACCGCCTGACTTCCGGGAGTCCCCCCCCCCACACCCCTCGCCATTGGGGAACCAAAGCCCCATCTGTGCTGGGGCCGGGGTTCCATGAAGCCGTTTACTCCCAGCTCTTTCTAAGCAGGACGCTAGTTTCGTCTGCAGTGAGACAGATTTAGGTTAAACAGGGAGTCCGCCTCCCCTCTGCCAGGGGCCACGGCGGTGAGCACACGGGGCGATCTCGGTCTGATTTCCCCAATGCACCAAGCCGATCAGTAATGTCTGATTCCTTCATGCTCTCGGCGTGGGGCACTGGGTCTGCCCTTCAAAAGAATGACTCAATGAACCACTGCTGAGAATGAGTGGATGAGTGAACAGAACGACTGACTGGAAAGCCATCCATTCATTCAACAACTGTTTATGGAGCAACTGCCATGTGCCAAACACTTTTTAAGGGGCATCTTGCACTCTAGCTGGAAAGGTAAGGAACAAGTACTATTATAAATGTTGGGAGAAGCCATCTGCCATGGGCCCTGAGCATGCCTGAGCATCCTAAGAAAGCAAGACCCTGAGAGCTCCTCACCCAGGCCATTTCTCAGGGCTGCGATGGCAGCCGGCAACCTCGAGGAGTGACGCAACAGCTCCCCGGGGACAAAGAACAGGACAGGGGAAGCAGCACAAACCAACACAAAGCCCTGGCCATTGGTTTTACTGTAAGTAATAAGGCCCTCTGTCTCTTACTGAGGAGCTTCGCGGCTTCTGCCAACATCCGAGAGACAGTAACAGACTATTATGCAACAGCAACAAACAGTTTATTGGCTTGCAAGTACGGCAAAATCTCGGAGGCTTCGTGGTTCTTGACGATGTGTTAAGTGGAGATTAGAGCTATTGAGAAACTAGAGCAGAAGAAGGGAGAAAAGGAGAATGGGGGCCTCGCCGTTTTAGACAGGTCATTGCGAAAGGCTGCTCTGAGAGGGCGACACTGGAGCGGAAACCGGAATGAGAGAGGAAATGAGCCACGTGACTCCTTGGCAGCAGAGCATTTCAGCCAGAGGCAACCACAGGGGCAGATGTCCTGGGGTGGGGGATACGGTGAATATCTGAGGGCAGCTGAACCGCCCCATGTGGCTGCAGGAGGCGTAGAAGAGAGGGGAGCAGAGGATGAGGTCAGGGAGACTGCTGGGGAGCGGGGGGGCAGAACACGCTGAGCTTCAAAAGCCGAGTGAAGTGCTTGCGATGTACTTTGAGATGGGAACTGCTGGTGGTTTGTGGTTTGTTTGTTTTGTTTTGTTTTTTTAAGATTTTATTTATTTATTTTTAGACAAAGGGGAAGAAAGGGAAATATCAGTGTGTGGTTGCCTTTCGCAGGCCCTCAACTGAGGACCTGGCCAGCAACCCAGGCATGTGCCCTGATTGGGAATGGAACCAGCAATCCTTTGGTTAGCAGGCCGGCACTCAGTCCACTGAGCCAGACCAGCCAGGGCTGCTGGTGGGTTTTTATCGGAGATGTGGCCTGTTCTGATTTCCGTGTTAAAAGGATGGCTCTGATTGCTGTGTGGGGAGTAGCCTGTAGCCCTGGGGACCAGGGTGCAAACCGGAAGTCAGTCAGAAGGCCGTTACAGTAGTCCCCGTGGGAGACGGCAGTGGCTTGTCCTGGTGGTAGTGGAAGAAGTAGGGGAGGCAGTGGGAAGTGGTCAGCTTCTGGATGCATGTTAAGAGTAGAACCCGCCCTGGCTGGCGTAGCTCAGTAGATTGAGTGCAGGCTGTGAACCAAAGTGTCACAGGTTCCATTCCCAGTCAGGGCACATGCCTGGGTTGCAGGCCACGGCCCCCAGCAACCACACATTGATGTTTCTCTCTCTCTGTCTTTCTCCATCCCTTCCCTCTCCAAAAATAAATAAATAAAATCTTAAAAAAAAAAAAGAGTAGAACCCGTAAGCTCGCTTAAGGGCTGGCAGTGAGTTGAGAGGAGCCAAAAATGACCCCAAGGTTTTGTTCTGGAACAGCTGCAAGGTTGGAGTCGACTGAGATAGGGAAGACGGGGAAGGGGCAGGTTTGGAAAGAATCAGGAGTAGGGTGAATGCGCATGAATGAGCAGAAGTGAACTAATGAATCACTGAAGGCCTTCTTTTTCCGAGGCGTGAACTAGGAGGCCTGTCCCATGGGCAGCACCTGCAAGGTCTGAGGCCAGCGCTGGAACACCCGCTCAGAAAAGGACGGAGCATTTCCTTTAAGAAGGCTCCGCCCCGCTCCGCGAAACCCCGCCCAGGGAGAGTCACGTGTTCCTCAGGGAGTGCAGGGGCTGGGCTGCAGCACGGTTTGAAAGCTAGCCGCGCGCCGCCCGAATAACGATTTGGCCTGCGACTGGGATGGCGGTGTTGCGGCCTCAGGACCAGCTGCCTGGCCTCAACACGGCCACCATATTGGTAGGCGTCGGCAGCCCGGCTCCCCTCGCCCACCTTTCCTCCTTGGCTGTGCTTCAGCTACGCGGTTCTCTGCGCTCTCCCGGTGCTGGCCCTCGCGGTTCCGTCAGGGGTGTGGTGGGCGGGATAGCCACATTCTGAACCAATCAGAGTAGCCTCCCTCTGAAGCCGAGAGTCGCCTCCTCACCAATAGGTGCGCGGCGGGCTCTTTTCCGGTTTGTGATTGGTTTCTGGCTTGGGGAGCCCGCGCGCCGGATAGGTAGCTAAGTGGCTAAGGTCCGCGCGGGGCGGGGACTTAGCTTTCCCGGGTCGCGGAGGGCTCCCGGAATGGTCCAGCAGGCCGAGGGAGGGTGCGGAAGGCAATGAGTGCTGTAGCAACAAGACCCGAGTGGTGTCTTCCACCCGTACCTAGCAGAGTGCTCGTTCGGTAAATAGCGCCCTGCGCGCTGGAGCCAGAATCCTGGGAGTCGCGGCCACCTTCGGTCCGCGCCCAGATCCCCATGCCCTCCAGAGGGACTGCTGTGCCCAGGTACCAATCGGCCGCCTTCTCTCTCTGGGCAGCTGGTGGGCACGGAGGATGCTCTTCTGCAGCAGCTGGCCGATTCGATTCTCAAGGAGGACTGCGCCTCCGACCTGAAGGTGTAAGTAGTTGAGGTTGGGGTTGTCCGATCGCTCGGCTGTGGCCTGGGTGCGAGGGAGAGCGGAGGAGCCGCCCGAGGCGGGAGAAGGTGGGGCAGGTTGGCCAACCCCTTAACCATCGTTAACGCTCGGTCTGCCCTCGCTGACCCTGCGGGCGTCTGGTAGCACCCCAACTAAGGTATCCTCCGTCACTCTCTGCCATATACTGGTTCTCTTCCTCGTTAAGATTTGTCACCGCAAGAAAGTTCCTTGTTCACCTGTTCTTTTACGTGTTTCCAACCCACCACGCCCATGGACCCCAAGGTCAGCCTCTTGAGGCCAGGGCCTTTGGCTTTTGCTCCCTGGTGAATCCCCAGTGCCTTGAGCAGCGCCTGCCACAGCATAGATGTATCCCCCGAATTTGGAGAAAAGTGATGAAGGGAAGTATAATTTGTTTTCCTTCTAACCTGATGGGAAGTAGAAACAGCTGCTGAGGGAGTCAACTGCTGTATGTGTGGGGGTGATGTCTGCCATGACAGATGGAGAAACTTCCACGGTCCGTGTTGAAGGAGGACGATCCAAATCTAAAGAGCATTTCCTCCATGGGAACTGGAGACTCGCCTTACTAGGTAGAGTAAATCCTGATACGGCACCTGCACAAATCTCTGATGAAAGACCGTCCATGGATCCATCTGCCGTACACATCTGGCCAGGCTCTCAGGCCACAGAACATTGAACACAAACAACCGTCTCAAACCCATAACTTAGAAATAGGAAAGGACTATTTTTTTAAACAGTTCATCCAGTTAGCACCAGGGTAAATGGGAAACGTGGACAAATTGGCCTATATCGGGCAAGGCAGAAAGAAGTGTCGTGGAAACCCTTGCTGGAAAAGGGCAAGGAACATGACGTGCAGAAATCTGATGGAGACCCCACTCTCGAAAAAGAAGCTCCTTCTTGACGTTTTGTGCTGCTGAGAAATTTAGTAAGAACTTGAATATTTTTTAAAAGATTTTATTTATCTTTAGGGAGAGAGTAAGGGAGGGAGAGAAACATCCATTGGTTGCTTCTCGTGACCAGGCACTGAACCCGAAACCCAGGCACGCGCCCTGACCAGGAATCAGACTGGCTTTGCTGGATGACGCTCAACCAAGTGAGCCACACCGGTCAGGGATGGAAACCGAAATTCTAAGGGGCATTCGAAGACCAGATGACAGAACAACAGAATGACAGAAAAAGGGAAGTTGCAGACCTAAGGGCAAAAACGGGCTGAAAATAGTACAATGCGCAATCGAACGACTAGAAACAGCAACATCAGAGGAGGTGTAACTCAGCACTTCATTACCTACAAAGAAGAAAGATTTGAGAAAATCACAAAAATGTTTAAAGATGTAGTAGAAGAAAACATCCCTGGAATGAGTAAAGAGTTTAATTTTTCCATGATAAGGGGACTGTACACCTTATTCCAGGAAAAATGGACACAGAACACTTCATGTCGAGGTAAGTTACTGAACTTCAAGGGTAAATGATTCTTCAGACTGCCCAGCCGGAAAGGCAGATCCCCATGCGGGCATCGAGCATCGGTTCACTCTGTCGCCAGACACTTCCAGCTGCTGCGTCTGGAGCGCACAGCAGGAACCGGACTGCGCCTTCTGAGCTTCTTTGGTTTTGTGGAGCCAAGTGGTAGTTCTGGCCAATGAGTTCTAAGCAGAAAAATGATTTGTCTCTTTTTTGGTGAACTGTTTAATTGACAGTGAGCTGTCCTCAGTGCCCTTTGTCCCTCCCATGGTGACCTGCAATGTCCCAGGGTGGCGGCCTCATCAGTGTGGGCCCAAGGTCATGGTCAGAGCAAACTGTGAATATATATAATAATAACAACCATAATAATATGTCTTGTCCAAATGGTAGGGCAAGATATAAGAATGTTAATTTTCTCATTTTTTATAATAATCAGTGCGATACAGAGAAAATTCAAACGTGCGGTTTAAAATGATACCAATTTACTAACTTTTTCATAATTTTTTTCTTAATTGGGTCCTTTCAGGAAACAGTCTCTGATTAAAAAATAATTTATCCAAGTTCATCTGTTTTTTTTTCAGTTCTACTTTATATTTTTTGCCTTTATTAAATGCAGATAAAATTAAATTAATACTATTGTCCTATTTTAGAGTATATCTACTCTAGTGTCTGAATGTGTATAGTACGTTACGTACATGACCATGATGTTGCGTACATGTTCAGAAAAATGCTCTAATGTTAATTAATACTAGCAATTTAGCTTTCATGTTTTTTGTGCTTTTCGGTGTTTCCTGAACGGGAGGATGCTGGGTGGGGGAGGTGGGTAGTAGGGACATGTGGAGATGGGCGGAAGTGGAGGGTCCAAGGAAAACCTTCCGTGGGGATTTGACAACAGAGACTGAGTCCCGATGAGAATGACGAGGGTGGCGTGTCCAAGGTCACACCGCTGCCAGTCGGCAGAACTGGAACTTGAGCCCTGTCTGTCACACTCCCAGGGAGCTCCGCCTTACCCCTAAACTCCACGGTCAACACACCATCCTCTGAGCCCGGTGCCCCTCTCGGCGGTGTGGCTCGCCAGCCTCGCGCCCCCCTCCACCCAAAACTGCCCCCTGCGAGGCAGTGACTGAACAGCCCCTCTCCGGCAGAGGAGCCGGGAGAAGGCAGTCCGGGCAGGACCGGCTCCGCCCTGCCCTGTGCTTGCCCCAGGGGTCCCCCCACGAGGCGTCAGGTGCACAGGTGAGGCACCTTTGACGGCCTCCTCTTCTCCGAAGGACAGCATGGGAGTGGTCACGGGAATGTCATGCAATGTCTCTTTCAGCCACTTGGCGCAGTCCCTCCCTCTGCCTTCCAATGTGACGCGCCCCCGAATTGACCTGATTGTGTTCGTGGTCAACCTCCACAGCAAATACAGGTGAGAGCCAGCGGCGGGGGCTGTCGGGGCTCAGGGGGACCTGGCAGAGGCGCGCACTAGGACAGCGGCCTCGCTTATGATGGGGAGCGGAGAGGCGGGGAGAGGCTGCCTGGGGAGCCGGTGGCCGGCGCAGGGTGTTCAGAAGACACGGATACATCCTAGCAGCGTCCCTGTCGCTTAGCTGAGGCTCTCTGGGGTCTGCCCTGCATCCCTGGTGGCAGGCCAGTGACGAATGACACAGACCCCTGTCCTTCACGTGCTCCTAGCCCTTGGGGCAGGAGGCTGGACTTGGGAATGCTGGTGAAGCCCACACGACCTCTGACTCCCAGGACTCAGTCAGGGTGGACTTTCTGGTGGTGGAGGTGACACTGGAAAGGTGAGAGGCGAGGAGTTAGCCAGGTAAAGGTGGGAGTGTTTAAACAAGGTGTTGGGTTCAAACACGGCAACCTGATTGGAAGGCAACTCGGCAGGACCTGCAGGTATTTTTAAAAGACGCACGCCGTGCCCCGGCCGGCCGAGCTACTGCCCCACTGACACATTTGCGTGGACGCGCGAGGATGCGTGTGAGCGGGTGCTCGTGCAGCGTGTCCGCGCCGAGGAGGACGTGGGGGCCACGGGAACGCGCGTCACTGGGAAAACGGTGGCGCCGTGGTCGTTCCACGGAATGAGACACATGTGGCACAGCCAGCTACGCCCAGTGAGACGCCCGTACCTACCCGTCCCTGTCTGTATTTGCACGTGAAACATTCTAGAAGAGTTACAGCCCACACTGTTGGCAGCAGCTCCCTCTGGGGGGAGGGGACTGAAGGGCGGCGCCAGAGAGGGAGCCAGCACTTCCACCTCCACGCTCACGCCACTCTCCTGCAGGCTTGAGTGGCCCCCTAACTGAACGCAGACAATGCAAGGAGAAAGTGTCACTGCGGGGCAGTGTCCTGTCACCCTCCCGTCCTCCCCTGGCCTCTGCGGGGTGAGGAGCGGGGGCTTCTGGGTTCGCCGTGGTAAGGTTTGTCCTCCCTTTGTTTTCTGTCCCTGCCCTGGCGCCGCGGCCGCAGCCTTCAGAATGTGGAGGAGTCCCTGCGCCACGTGGACGCCGCCTTCTTCCTGGGGAAGGTGGGCTTCCTCGCCACGGGCGGTAAGTGCGCCCCTGCCTGCCACTGCCTGCCACTGCCCGCCACCGCTCACCCTGCCCCCCGCCCCCCGCCGAGGGCAGCTGGCGGTGGGGTAGACTCCTCGCTCAGGCGGCCTGGCGGAAGGAGAGAACACGGGCTTTGGAATCCGACCTGGTGTCGGTCTTCCTGAGAGCGCCCCTGAGCAGGGCTTGCCGCCGAGCTAACCCTGCTGAGGGCGTAGCTCAGAGTCGCCTGGTGGTTTTCTAGAGTAAAGCCCAAACCCCTGCAAAGGCACGGCCTGTCTGCAGCTGGGCCGCCGCCTTCCTGCCCGGTCTCTCGTTCCCTGGTTCGGCTTGTAGTATCTGAGTGGGCCCTGCTGCCACTGCTACTCTGCATCGTTAACAGCGGAATGACGGTAGCTGACCTTCGCCGAGTGCTCGCTGTACGCCAGACACTGTTGCAAGTGCCTTGATTCTGTGGCACTAGTCTTCGAGACAAGCAGCCCTGTGCAGTAGGGGCAGCTGTCTCTTGGACAGCTGAGGAAACTGGCTAAGTGACTTGCCCAAGGCCCCACAGCGAGAACGCGGTGGAGCTGAGAGGCGGGCCTGGGTGTCGTGTTCCTGAGCCACATGCCTTCCCTCTCACGCTCTCCGCCTCTTCCGTCTAGCCAGCCCCTCTTTTCCGTGTCCTGGGGGAAGCCTCCCCGCCCAGCCCCGCAGGCCGGGCCCTCGGGCACCCACCTGCACTACCCCGAGCGGAACTGGCGCTCCTGTTGGGAAGGGCCTGGTGCAGACTACTGTCCAGAAGCCTCTGTGAATAAAGGAATGCCAGGTCGCTGAGCGTGCTCAGTCAGTGGGGCGCAGCTCTCGTGACCCTCATCTTACAGATGAGGGGACCTCGTTTTCCTAGCATTCGAGCTCAAAGTCCTTTTGGCTTTATTGTCTAATTTGACCATCTTGGCGACCTGAAGAGAAGGTGGGACAGGACAGTCTCCCCCCACCACCAAGCAGAACCTGGGGTCAATCAGAGCCTGGGGCTGGAGAGGGGGTGCCCTCGCCTTGCCCGGGGCACCCTGGTTGCAGCCAGACAGGCAGAGATCACCGCTGTGGCACTTTCGGCTTCTTTGCAGCCGGGCGGGACAGTCACTGCAGCGTGCACCGGAACACCGTGCTGAGGCTGGCCCAGGCCTACCGGAGCCCCCTGCTCTTCTGTGACCTGGAGGTGAGGACTGGCACTCGGGCGCGGGGAGGAGCAGTCCGCGCACAGTGGGCTCGCAGGACTGCTCCTTGGAGGAGCCCCGAGGGCCGAGGGAGGGGTCCTGATGTGCAGACACAGGGTCCTGGTTTGAATCCTGGCGTGTCCGCCCCCTGGCTGTGACTTGGGCGGGCCCTCCTACGCCTTGGGGACACAAATGTGCCGTGGAGTGATGACATTCATTCATCGTGAGTGCCTCTTACATGCCAGGTGCTATCCCTTGTCACCTTGCTTCTCCTTTTGCTGTGTTTTCTGCCCTCGTAACTGAGCCGCGGGTGTTTATCTGTGGGTGCCAGTAAATGCCTCCCTCTCCCACGAGGGGGGTAAGTGCGTGGGGCTAGGCACCTGTCTGTCTCGTCACCCAGTGCATCCTCGCGTGCCCCGGCAGCTGGAGTGCCCGGCGCGCCCTCACGCTTCTGATTGCAGACCTTGTCCATTCCCAGCCCGGGGCGGGGGCCGGCGGGCGCGGGCGGGCGGATGTTGGAGGGACGCCTCTGGTGTTGGTTCTGCCCTGACTCTGGTGGCGTTTCTCTCAAGGTGAGCCCTCATCGTGGGCGGTGCCGAGCAGATTTCTGCTGTCTTTTCTTTTTCTCTTCAGCCTCTCCTTCTGCAGTAGAAATCCTGCCGGCTTTTGGGGAGGTCTGCGGAGGCCCCCAGGGCCTGGGCTGCTCAGGTGGTTTGGGGGTCTGTGTATTGGCCTTGAAGTTCATTTAGAAGACTTGTGTTTCTGGTCTGTTCTACTTCTTGCACCCCCCTCCCCCCCCCCCGCAAAGGCGCAGTGATGTAACGCAGAGAGAACTGAGTCAGCGTGCGGTCCTCCACCGCCGTTTGGATCGGGGGTTCTTATTCCAGCGCCTGTGGACTCCTCTGATCTGAGAGGAGAATTCAGGCATCTGTGGACTGGAGCGAGACAACAGTTGCTTCTTTTTATTTTATCAACACCTAAGTGAAATTGAGCATTATGAGTGCAGGCAAGAGATGTCAGTAGTAGTAGCAGAATCTGACTGTTGGCAGAAAGGGCAGGGGCACAGGGGTGCCCGCTAACCTTGTGGCGGGGGTGCAGTTCTGCGTGTGGCCAGTGGGTGGCAGGCCACACCAGGGCCTGGGTTACCCTGGAGCCTGAGCTCTGGAAAGAGGTCTGTTGTCCTCCTGCCGTCCACCTTTTCAGGGCACAGAACCTCCACTCATCAAGTTCGGGCCGCACCGTATTGGGAGGACTTTGCGTGGCAACAGTTGTCGCCCCATTTTACGCAGAGGAACCCACTCCGAGGTGTGGGGTTCGCCCAGCGAACCTGTTCCCTCGCCCTGCGGACAGGGCCGGAGCGGGTCCGTGAGAACGCAGACACGCCAGGCGTTGGCACCGCCCTCTCAGAGCCTGCTGAGCTCCACCAGCCAATTACTTATGCAACAGACCAGAGCTTGCAGAGCTTCTGAAGCCAGGCAGGGGGACTAAGTCCTTCCTTCCTGTGGGCGACAGAGGCCGTGGGGATGGGTCAGACTTGGGTTTGCGGGCCACGTCTCTGGAGTGCGGCGTGCGGACTGGGGGAGGCCTGGCCCGGGGCAGGAGGCCGGCTGTGGGGCCCGGGCGAGGTCAGGCGCTTGCAGGTGTATTTCCGAGCAGGAGGGTTTATTCAACAGCATTTCTCACATGTCTGCGGAGTGCCAAGCACTCTTCTAGGCACTCGGGATGCATCACAGAACAAAACGGTAAAAAAAAAAAGTCCCGGTTCCATTCTGGTGGAGGAAGCGGGCGTAGAGTGCGCCGTGCGTTAGCAAGCGGGCGGTGACGTGGCCGGGGTTGGTGAGGCGGTGGGATTTAGGTGGGGCGACGGGGACGGGGTCATTGGAAAGCGGCCTGTAAGCAAAGACAAAGGCAGTTCGTGGGGGCGCCCGCAGAGAAAGCGCTGGCGGCAGGAGACGCAGCAGGTGCGGAGGCCCTGAGTTCAAGGGGACTTGCCTTGTGTTCAAGGTTCCGCAGCCGCGCAAGGCGAACCAGGGGCGGAGCAGCGGTAGGCGAGCCAGAGTGCCGGTGTGGCCAGGTCGGTGGCGCCTTGCGGGGCGTAGGAAGGGCCGGGACTTTTACTCTCAGCAACGCTGGAGCCACCGCAGGTGTGGGGCCAGGGACAGGTGTGGTCGCACTTGGGTTTCAGATGGGTCCCTGCAGCTGTTGGGAGGAGGGCAGGCTGAGCGGACGCGGGGCGGATGGAGGTGGGCCCAGGGGCTGTTTCCGGAAGAGTTAGCAGCGGCCTGGACTCGGTGGCGTCTGGGGCAAAGGGCCCAGGGTGGTGCCAGTAGAAGGTGCCGGTGGCCTGGGCGCGAGGTGTGGGTGGGAAGAGTCGAGGACGACTCTGGAGCTTTCGGCCTCTGGCTGAGATGGAGACCCCGGGGCTCCGCGCTGGACAAGTTAGGTGAAGGTGTCTCTCAGTGGTCTGCGCAGGCATGGAGTGGGCAGCTGGTGTGTGCGTCTGGCACTCGGAGGAAGGGTCTGGAGAGGCCGTCTGGGACTGAGATGGTTTCAGAGACGCGGGGCCGGAAGAGGTCACGTAGGGAGCGGGAGCCCTGGGGCCCGTAGGGAGTGGGAGCCCTGGGGCCCCCGCATTTAGACTTTGGACAAAGAGGAGGGAGTAGCCTGGGCAGGGGGAGGGGAGCTGGGGGACCGGGGGTGGGGTCCTGGGGCAAGGGACAAAAAGCCATTGGCGGGGGGCAAGGGGCTGCGTGGGATTCCACCGGGGAGTCCGGTGAGAGCGACACTGGTGCCGTGAGGACCGCGACTCCAGCTCTGGGTTCAGGACCGAGGACGTGACAGGGGACAGACCGGGGAGGGGGGGGGAGCGTGAGCGGGAGGACTTGAGGGCGCCTGGCTCTCTAGTTTGGGCCACTGGCTGGACAGCTGGAGAGGGAGCCGGGGAAGGGGGGGATGCTTCCAAGGCCGCCGCCGGCCAGGGGAGGACCGCTGAGCGCCACTCTGCTCGTCCACAGCCGCCTGGGGAGGGCCTCTGACCTGCCCGGCTCCGGGCCCTGGGGCATCCTCACCCCGCGGCGCCTCGGGACCCTGCGGCCCACAGAAGCCCCAAAAAAGGGGCTCTTTGCTGGTGGTGTCTCCCCGACCCAGGGAGGGCGCTCTCTGTCCACCCCTCCACCCCATCCCTGGGGGCGTGTTTCTCAGACCCTGGTAAGGGAGCTCCAGGGGCTGGCCCCTGGTCGAGGCCCCACCGCTGTGGCTGTGGTCGCTGAGTGCGACTCTGGGTGGGCAGTCTGCCCGCCGCACCGGTCCCGCTGGTGAGCCCCTGTCTCCTCCGGAACAGGGCCCGCCGTCTCGGGTGTCCCTGGAGGGCGCTAGGAGGACTTGGAAGCCGCCTGGAGAGGTGTGCCGTGGCCGAGAGCACGGCCGTGAGGGGCAGTGGTGCGCCAGTCTGTCCCCACGTCTCGGACCGCGGGCCCCCCCTGGCGGTCCGTGCGGCCGCCCTGACCCTGTCCTCTGCTCTTCCCCGCAGGTGGACGGCTTCCGAGTCAGCATGGCGCAGCGCCTGGTCCGCATGCTGCAGGTCTGCGCCGGCCACGTGCCCGGCGTGTCGGCCCTGAACCTGCTGTCCCTGATGGGCACCTCCGAGAACCCCTCCGCAGAGGGCCTGTGACGGTCCCCGGGCCAGCGGGGCGGCTCTCCCGGGGGACCCCGACTCCGTGCTCCAGCGGGGCGTGCTGTGGGGGAGCCCAGCCGTGGGCCCAGCCCCCCTCCCACCCCCACAACCCCACTCACTCACTCGGCTTTATCCATCAGACAGGGTCCATCCCCACTCAGGACTTCCTGTGAACACGGAGCCTGTGGCCAAAACCAGTTGGAACGCCACTGGTCCCATCCACCGCTTCCGTGCTGCGGAGGAGCTGACTCGGAAGCATTGAGAGCGGGCGCGGGCACGGGCGGGGGGTCTTGGCCTCGGTGGGCCCACCCAGCCCGCCTCCACGTCTGGGCCTGGCTGTTCTTAGAGCACCTGGTCGTTGCCTCCCGGAGCCTCGGCTTCCCCGGGCGGTGCTGGAGCTCGTGCTCCCTTTCCACGCGTTGGGGGCCCGCACCGAGCGACGACGGGGAGGCCCGAGCTGGCGTCTTCGCTCCCCGTGCTCGCTCGCGCCCGTGTGTTTCTTAATAAAGTGCGTTACTGCCAGGCGCGCGCTCCATGAACGGTGACTCGCCGGAGATCACGCCGAGCTGAGTGCTGAGTTCAGAAACTGGCGCACGTCCAGGGCGACCCACTGGGTCCCTCCGCTTGTGAGGACCAAGCGAGAGGGGCTGGCTGCGGGGCTGGCGGCCGGAGGCTCTGCGTGCCTTGCACGCCTTCGCCCTGGGGTCCGATTGAACCCGAGAATCCTGCCGGCCGGCCGGGCCCTGCCCTCCCCTGTGGCTGCTGCGCCCAGGGGAGCCTGGGGGGTGGGGGGAGCGGGAGGTCTGGTGGGAAAGAACCGGGTCCTGGCTCCCTTGGGGCAGGGCCTGCCCTGCACCCCCCAGGCATCGGGAGGGCCCCGCCAGAGCCTTGGGCAGCGCCGGCCCCTGATCTTCATTGGCCGGCGGGTCAGCTGCAACTCGTTCCCGAGATCACGGCTTCTTTCCCGTGGCCTCCTCCGGGGACCCAGCCCGGCGCCCCACCCCCAGTGCTCAGGTTCACGGACACCTGCCTGTCTGCGGGGCAGCCTCACAGGATGTTTCGGTCGAGGCCCCAAATGTCACTGGACATGTGGCAGGGCACTTCACGCTCCACGGAGCTTTCCTCGCACGGTCGCTCCCGCCGCCTCCCGGCAGACCTGTGAGGTCGGCCTTTCTCATTTCACAGCTGATGAAACCGGGACCTGTAGTCCGAGGCGTGTCCGCAGTCGGAGCCCAGCAGCAGCAGGGCCGGCCCCCCGGCCCTGGCTGCAACCCTCTTCCCCCAGGGGTTTCCTTAGGCGGCTAGTTGCTGAACAGAGGCTGGGGCTTCTGCTGGGCAGGCTCCGAACAGCAGACTCGGCGGCGGAGCACGGGCCTTGGGCCTGAGAAGGCAGCGCTGCCCCCTGCTGGGGGCCTGTCCCAAGGGACCTGGGGGCGGGGCCGCTCCGTGAGGGGGAGGGCAGGGCGCAGGCCAGGGCTGGCCCACCCCAGGGAGGACGCCCGGCAGTACGGACCCAGCCACTGTCTTTTCTGGGCATGTCACTTTGCTGGAGACAAAAGGAGGTCCTCCCGGTACGCCCCAACCTGCAGCCCCTCAGCCAGCACGAGTCCCCACCTCTCCTCCCTCCAGTCCCCACGCCACTGTTTCTGTGCCACCCGGCACCATTGCACAAGAGAAGCTGCGTCACATCCTCCCGCCGAGGGTGTCGAAGCCGTCCCAAGTGCTGGGGGCACACGATGCTGTCCCTGCTGCCAGCCCCAGCGAGCTGGGCAGGGGTCCCGGGACCGAGAGGCCCCCGCCTCTTGCGGCAGCTGAGCGGCCCCTGCCGGCCGGGCAGTGCGGCTGCTTGGCACTGTCCTCTGTCCTGAGGCCAGTCTGACCGGGGGAAGCCCCGGGAGACCTGTCTTCATGCTCAACAGTGCTGGGCTGCTCCCCGACCTCATGACCTTAGGCAGGTCCCTTGTCCTTGTGGGCCTCAGTTTCCTCACCTGTAGAGTGGGGTCAGGTTAACGAAGGCCTCCCTCCCCAGCCGGTTGGGAGGACTGAGGAGGAGAAGCCGTTGTTTTAAACAAAGGTCGGAACCAGTGTTCAGACCTCTCAGCTGGCCGTGGCTCCGGGGTGGCCACGTGGAGGCAGTTACTGACAGCCTACCGGTCCGAGGGGCGGCCCTGGGAGCCGCCCTCCACTGGACCTGGACGCTGCTGGGCCCGTGCCCTCTGAGCAGAGGACGGAGTGGGGCACTCGGGGCCCCTGCTGCATGGTGGAGGCATCCGAGACTCGGTGGGCGGGGGCGAGGATTGTTCAGGGTCAGAGGTGCCTTTGCCCCCTCAGGCCACCTGGCTGTGGGCAGCCCTTGGGCCCGCCCCTGGGAACTCACGTTTCTGTGAGGCCCTGGTATTCTGGCCCCAATGGGGGTATTTCCCATCCCTGCCAAGGGAGCAGGGCGCCCCTGGCGAGGAGGGGGCTCTGCAGTGTGACACCTGCCACTTCTACCCCTCAGGGAGCAGAGGCGGGGCAGTCGGGGGGCAAGGCCGGGGCTGGGACAGGGTGACCTGGCCACAGAGGGGAAGTGGTGCGGTGGGAAAGGACCTGGCCTTTCGGTCCCACTGACTTGGTGTCTGCGGCCAACCTGCAGCGTCACCTGGTGCAGCTCACTTCCTGTCCCCGAGCCCCACAGCCCCCTGGGGTTCTTGCCAGGCTCAGAAAACCAGAGAGGCTGGCACCCAGTGTGCATGCCCCGAGTCTGCCATCCACGGACAGCGGCCCGGAAGGGCTGGCGGGCTGTGCCCAGGGCTGTGGTTGGCGAGGCGAGCTGGGGACCCCCAAGGTAAAGCCCAGCCTCCGCATGCCCCTCCCCGCACACAGCTAGTGCGGGGCCAGGCTGCCCGGGCAGGACTCCAGCACAGAGGGACCACCCCGCCCTCCCTCAGGCTCCCCGAGGTCACAGGGGGCGGGCAGAGAATCGTCCAGAAAGGACTTCACCCTGACGCTTGCAGACCCGAGGGACAGCGGAGAAGGGGCTGGGGGCGACTGTGGAGGGCCCCAGATCTGAGTCCCGCCTGAGTGGGACCCTATGGACCAGAGGCCACTGAGGACCAGCTCTGGAAGGGACAGTGGGTGGGCAGTCCCCCCGTGTCACTGACCTGGGCAGGACGCAGCCTGCCTTGGGGCCACCCTCTTCAGGAGGAATGCCAAAGGCTTTTGGGGGGCCCTGGGGCTAACATTTGGTAGGTGCCTGGTCTGATGGATAATGAACGCCCCCCCTAGCACTCTGCCCTCCTGTACTACGCCCGGCCCCAGGCCCCTGGCGGGCCCTGGTCTGCGGTCGGGGAGAGGCCCCAGGTGTGAGTCCTGTGAGGGCTGCCGCCCGGCTCCTCCTCACCCCCCTGCGCTGGGTGGCTTTCCTCTTTGTAAAGGAGGATCTGGTGCCACCCCCCTCCCAACAGGGTTGAGGCAAGGGGGGCGCAGGGCCAGGCTGGGGGAGAGCGGGCCCTGTGCTCCGCCACTCCCCTGGTGGCTGTCCCGCTCCCTGGGCCCTGGGCGCTGCTCCCCAGATGGCCCTGGGGATCCCTCGCACCTCCCCCCTCCTGTTCCAAGGCCTCGCCAGGCCTTCCCTGACTTGCCAGCACCCTTCCCTCCTGGGTGTCTCTCCCCGGCACCTCTCACCGCCTCAATGGTCTGACCACGTAGGTAGGTCTTGTCTCCGAGGTTCCCTGCTGTCTCCCCGGAATGAGGCCTCAGGGAGGGGTGGCCCCTGGGGAGGGTCCCTTCTCCTCCCCCTCCCCGCTCCCCCTCCCCCCTGGCCTCACGGCCTCCTTCCACCTTCCCACCTTCAGGCCTGGCTTCCAGAAGGTGGGCACTCCACCGCCCACCCCCCCCCCGTGGCAGGGACTACGGGGTGGGGTTGGAAAGGGGCGGCAGGGGTCCTCCTTTCCAGCCCGACACAGAGCCACGGAGGGCCCACATCCCCCCATGCCCCCCATGCAAGTGCCCCTCGGAGTACTGGAGCGTGTGCACGTGCAAGCCTCTGTGTGTGCGATCCTGTGTGTGTGTGTGCAAGCCTCTGTGCGTCGGCGCGGAGAGCACGGCCGGCTGAGGCCCATGGAAGCCTGGGTGTGGGTCTGTGACCGCTTCATGGCAGGGCACCGCGGACCCTTGCGCGACTTGAGTTCAAGGGGAGGGGGCAGGATGGGGGCTCCCTGGCCCCTTCCCGTGTCCTGAGGACCAGCGCCACCTCCTCCCTGCTGTCCCAGTGAGGGGGCCTTCTTAGCAGCCTCCGGCCTGTCAGAGCCAACTCCTCAAGAAGGTGGGGGTGGGGGGGGGACCTGCTCTGGGAACCTGGGCAAACAGACGGAGGGCGGACAGAGGCCTCTGCCGGACCCACGGGGATGGAGGGCTCCCACCGCGCCACCCCCTTCATGAAACACAAAGCCTGCGTGTATTTATTTTTAGAGAGAGGGGGAGGGAAGGAAACATGCATGTGCAAGAGATACACCGACTGGTTCTCACACACCCCCAACCAGGGACCTGGCCCGCAACCCAGGCCTGTGCCCTGACCAGGAATCGAACCCACAACCTTTGGGGCTTTGCAGGCCGGCGCACTCAGTCCACTGAGCCACACCAGCCAGGGCCCAGACCCGCTCCCCCAGGTGCAGGCCGGAGAGCTGAAAGGCAGGGCACAGGACGGGAGTGAGAGACTCCCGAGTGAAGAGAAGTCATGCCCCACCGCCCCCCGCCCCCCACCCCCCACCCCAGGGACGGCGCGGAAATGCCTGTTCTTACTCAGAGACTCGGGTATTGTTTGAGGGTTTTTTCAGGAGAAGGTCTTTAGGTATTACTCAACGAATTACGTATAAAGCTAATTTTTAACTAAGTAGAGAGTGCATGCTGGGTCCCAGAGTACTTTCCTGTCCAGACCCGGCGGGGTGGGGGGGGGGCCGGGCCCCCTGCCCTGAGGGACTGCCCCCACACAACACCGTCCCACAGGCCCCGAATTTCCCACTTCCCCCACCCTGTCCCCAAGGCACGAAGGGCACAGGCCACGCTTCACGACTGGCTGAACACAGGCCCCGCCGGCCCCTTCCAAGTGCTGGGTCATCCCTGCGTTCTCACGGCCTCCCTCCCAGAACACGGAGCTCGCCCCAGTGCTGGAGGTCGGGCCCCCTTGGGGGGGTGGGGGGGAAAAATCAAGGGAGACTCCCTTCTCCCTGACAGACCCCAAATGAATCATCCTGTGAAAAATCATCAGTGCATGGAAACTTGAGAAAACGAAGAGATTCAATCAGAAGGTTTGTCGCAGCAAATGCCCTTATTTTCTGCCCAGGAATGCACGGAGGGGAAGATGTCACTTATTGAAAGTAAACGCTATGGAAACAATGAGGAAAATTCGTGAGAACCACACTGATTTTAGAAACTTGAACGCTCCCCTCTTTGGTCGCATGTCACAATCGGAAAGCGACGTGGAACACTTGAATAAAGAAATTAATAAACTTGGGGGGGGAGGGATGGGGGAGGGCTGGGCTGGGAGTAAAGGACAGAAAACTGTGCTTGAACATCGATTAAAATAAAAAATAAGTTTTTTCAATTAAAAAAAGAAATGAATAAACTTAATTGCTATGAGAAAGGAGAAGAATACACCGAGGAGTAACCTAACACGTGGCGCGTGAGTCTGACGGCGACATTTCTCTTTCTAGCTGCTGCGTCGTCTGGGCAGAGCCTCGAGGCCTCCCCGCCTCCCCCGGTTGGTTAGGAGGCTGGAGCACCATGGTCTGTCCAGGGCCAGGCACCTGCTCGCCCCCTCGACGCGGGTCCCGAGGGCCCTCGGGGGTGCCGGCTCTGTCCTCGGCACCCACCACCCGCCGGGGGCAGGCAGAAGGAGGCACCACGCAGGCAGACATTTGTGTCCAATGACAGAGCCCCATCGGCCTCAGGGCTGCCCTCCCCGGCTCCCACTCTCCCACTCTAGCTCGGGGCCAGGAGGGTCCCCTCCTCTGCTCTCTGCCTCAGGGGTCAGAGGTGGCTCACACAAATGACCCCAGACCTGGCCCCCCCTCTCCTAGGATGGGGGTCCCACTCCTGGCTCCCCACAGGCCTCCGCCAGCTCCGCCCAAAGGAAGTTCTGGCACGAGGTCGAGGTCGGAGTGAGGTCTGCTGTCCCGAGGGTGACAGGTAACAACCCCAGTGGGGAGGGGCGGGGGCGGCGTCTCCCCTCCCCTCTACCCCTCGGCCGTGGGAGGGCCTCCCCTGCCTGGGCTGCCCCCACCCCCCGCTCCTCCGCCCCCTCGTTACCCACCCACACCCACCACCCACTTCTCCTTTGCAGCTGCCCCACCGCCCACACCTTCCTGCCCCGGAGTTGCTGGCCCGTGGGCAGGGGCCAGGGCTGGGGCAGGGGCTGGGGCTTCTCAAGGCTGGCTGCCTCGGGGCTCTGCGTGCGCCCCGCGGGGTCCTCCGAGACAGACGTCGGGGACCCGCCTTGCTCCGCTTACTCCAGGGCATCACTCGTGTCTCCTGAACTGCCCCCCGCCCTCCCACGGTGCCAGCCTCCAGCCTCCTAACCCTGCTCCGCTCGCCCGGCTGGTCTGCACCTCCACGGCAGCCAGAGGCTCGGCCCCTTCTCAAGAAGCTCAAGTCCCCTCGCTGCCAGGGCGCCTGTGGCTGGAGACCAGGCCGCGCCTGCCTGCGGCCTGGGGCTCCCGCCCTCCTGCCCCCTCCTCAGCGTCCCCTGAGGCGGCAGCCGTGCGTGTCCCCAGAGAAAGTGCCCCCTTCCCCCACGCCATGTCTTCGCCCTTCTGCCTGGAAGGTTCCCCTGCGCCTTACACGTGTTAAAGAACCACTCCTGTCCCCAAGCTCCCTCCCTGTCCCCTGGACGGCTGCTTCTCCTTCCTCTGCGCCCCCAGCCCTGGAGTGCTTCGGGGCTGGCGTGGGCCCCCAGGAGGTGCTAGGCCGGGGCTCCGGTCCCGAGGGTCTCTGCCAGCCCCTGCCCCCAGGGAGGGGGAGGCTGAGGGAGCCGGCGGGTGTCTGTCTGAGACTCAGTCTGAGAGACACGGGTGAGGGACGAGTGGGGAACCCCGAGCCCTGGGGAGACGAGACCGACGGGGGGGGGGGCCGCGGTGAGGGCAGGGGACACAGGGAGGGGAGCTGCCCAGCGCGCGCACGGCCCTGGAAAAGGAGCAGGGTGGGTGCGCTGCCCACTGGGCCTCGGTCTGCTCGTCCATCTGTTGATCTGTTGATCTGCGTCTCCCTTCCGCCGAGGAGCCAGAGACTGAGCTGTCTCTGCACGCTGCCCCCCTCCCCCCTTAACCCACTCCGGGCCCTCCCCTCCAGCCAGGGGTGCCTCGCTAACCCGCAGATCTCCGCTCAGAGCCTGCGCAGCTCCCGAGTGCCTTCGGGCCCAGCTGAGCTCCTTAGCCGGCAGTCACGGCTCCCCGCCGGCCCCTCGCGCCTCCTCCGCAGTTGGGCCTCGAGGCCCGAGCTCCCGCGGGGCCCCTCCTCCATGGAGCTTCCCCAGCTAAACCCCGCTCCATCCAGCAGACGCCCCCTCATCGCCCCAAAGCTTCCCTGCTTCCTCCGTGGGGGCACCTGCGTCGGCTCCCCCATTGCCAGCGGGGTCCCAGCTGCCACTGGCTGCCCATGGCCGCGGGCAGCGGGCAGCGAGCGTGGCAGCGTGGAAGTCCCTCAGGACACATCCAAAGTGGGCACTCGGGGTGCGTTTCATGAACTGAGCCAGCTCCGCCTGGGGGGGGGCGGGGGGCTCCCCAGGAGAGGAGAGAGGTGTGTGTGGGGGGAGGTGGGGCTGGCGGCCTAGGGAGCAGGACAGACCAGGCCCCCCAGAGGTCTGTGCGCAGGAGCAGGCCCCGGCCCTGGCGCCCGTCCCAGCAGAGGGCGGGGGTGATGGTTGAGTGGTTGAAGGGAGGAAGCGCAGGTAGGGTGAAAAGGTCTGGGGTGCAGCGCCCCGGTCCCCGGCCGGGAGCCGTCCCACCCCACCAGGCAGGGGGGCGGGGCGGGGCGGGGCGGGGCGGGTGGCCCCTCCCAGGTCCCTCCCCGCGGGGCCGCGGCGGAGACTCAGTCCCAGCGGGGTGTGCGGCGCGGCGGCAGCATGCCGCGGCCGGCGGGGAGCCCGGGGGTCCAGAGCGGGCCGGACCCCACGAAATGCGTCTCGCCTCAGTGCTTTGACGCGCTGGTCCGCTCCTGCGTGGACTGCAAGCTCTTCCGGCCGCCCGAGCTGAATTCGGGTAAGAGCCGACTCCCTCCGACGGCAGGCTGGCCCGGCCGCCTCGCGGGAAGGGGCAGGGCGGCGCCACCGCCGGCCGGAGCCGCGGCGCCACACCGCCGCGCGGGCCCCAGGGCGGGGGTGGGGGACCCAGGGCTGATGGGGGTCGCGGGCAGGGGCCCCGGCGGGGAGCGGCCGTCCCCACGTGGCCCTCACCGTCTCTCTCCTCCCCTCCCTATGACCCCACCCTCTCCACGCCCGGCCCTCCCCTCCCCTCCCCTCCCGTCCCCTCCCCGTCCAGCCTCGCCTCCCTCCGACCCTTCACTCTTCCCTGCTCGGGCCTCCCCTCCCTGTGTCCCCTGCCCTCCCTCCCCGTCCCCTCCGCTCGCAGTCTGGCCGAGCAGCCTGGCGCCCAGGACCCCGCTGCAGCAGCAGGAGTCGGTGGGCACGGGGGCGACCGCCCAGGCCGAGCCGGTGCTGCCGATGCCCGCGCTGCTCCTAGGCGCCCCCGCGCTGCTGGGCCTGGCGCTGGCCCTGGTCCTGGTCCTGGTGGCCCTGGTGACCCTGAGGCGGCGGCGGCAGCGGACGCGCGGGCCCACTTCCCCGGAGGCCCCAGAGAGAGAGCAAGACGGTGAGTGCCCCGTCGGGGAGGGTCCCACTGTGAGGGCTGGCGGCAAGGGAAATGGGGGGCATGGCCCCATGGGGCATGCAGAAAAGGGGGGAAGGGCTGCTCTGAGGGTCTCTGGCTGAGACCCTTGTTCTCGTGAGGGACACAGCTGTGGCCTCCCAGACTTACCAGGAAGAGCCCCAGGCCCCAGGCAGAGAGGGGTCTGTCCTGTCCCCTCCGGGAATGAGCAGACTGGCTGCCACACTTCCTCTCTCCTCCTTCAGCACCCCCTGTTTTGCTGCCCTCTCAGCACTTCCTGTCCTGAGGGCTGGTCATGTGTCCCCTCTTCCCCCTCTGCAGTGGGGCTCCAGCCACTCGCCTCTCAGCGGCAGGGCTGTGCTGCCGGAGAGGCCTCCGGAACAGGGACGGAGATGGCTGTGACCCAGTTCTGACCCTGCGTTCCCCCCCCCAGGGCCCCTGGATAAAGTCGTGGTCCTCTCTTCGGGGTCCCCTAATGCCACAGCCCCCGTCTGGCCTCCACCCAGAGACAGTTCAGCCACCGGCCCACCCGCCCACAGCGTCCCTGTGCCAGCTACAGAGCTGGGCTCCACTGAACTGGTGACCACCAAGACAGCGGGCCCTGAGCAGCCGTAGCGAGGAAGGGGCAGGAGGTGGCCCTTGTCCACCCTGCAGCCGTCGGCCAAGGGATTCCTCCCCGCATCTACCCACCCCTTTTCTGAAAACCAGGCTGCGCGGCGGACCGAGGCTGCAGACCACAAGGCTCAGCTGCCCCGCTGGGCTGGCGTGTGTGCGGCGTGTCAGTGTTTGGGCTAAAACCCTGCCAGGGGCGGGGGCCCTCGAAGGCTGTGACTGAGCACCTGTGCTTCCGCGCAGTGGGGGCCCTCCGGGCAGCGGTTTGCTTTCAGAGAGCGGACGGATGGCACCAGGGAACCCGAGTGAGTCTAGGAAAAGGACCGAGTGGGACGAGGCATGACATGTAGCCGAGCGTTGTGCTTCTTTACTCCTTGCTCTCGGGGCTGTCCTGCTGTTAAGCCAAAGCACATGGCTGCTACGCTGACCAGAAACCAACGGATGGGCTCCCCTGGGGATTTAACACCAGACGATTTTAAGAAATAGCCTGGATTGTGCTGGTTCTGAGGTACCTGCACCCCGGTGGCAACCCTGAGCTGGGCCCAGTCTGCTAGGACCTATGATGCCATTTGCCCTCCAGGGGCAGCCCCTAGAGCCCAGGGCTCGCTGTTGGGAGGAAGTCCACACCCCCTGGGGCGGGCCTGCCAAGGCACACAGGCGGCTCCCCTGTGTGCCATCTGGGTCCCAGCTGCCGCCGAAGCTCACTCAGCTGTGCACAGGGAAGGGCCCCGGACCTGCATTCATAGGCCTGTGGCCTTGAACCAGCTGGACTCGATGTCCCTTGAGTTCCCTCCTCTCTGTGGCCTGCCCTCTCCAAGGGCTGGGGTCACTTGGCCATTCTGTGCCAGCCCCTGGGGTCACCCACTATCCCAATGGAACTGCTCCTCCGACAGCGGCGCCGCTTGCCCTGCCTGGGGCTGAGACGGTCTGCCCGGCTCCGGACCACACCGCGCGCCGGGTCAGCCTCCCCTGCCAGCCCTGCTTCTCAGGGTTGGACCTGCCGGGACTCCTCCCTGGATAGTGTCCTTGGAACTCCTTACAGCTCGGCATCCCTGGAAGGATCCCTGGGCTGCGTGTGAGTCCGAAGAGGGGCTTCTGGGGACCATTCCGTCCCGCCGTGGGACCTTGGCTACACACATCTCCCAAGGCTGCTGGCCTCTCCCTGCCTTGACACTGGGGTTGCCTGGCCACTACCCTCGCTTCCTGCCTAGAAGACAGTCAGCAGGTGGCAGCATGTGGAGCCCTCAGGACCTGGACCCTCACATCTGCGTCTCATGCTCCCCGCTCCCTCCCTGAACCGGCCCAGGTGCCCCTCCCTCCAGGAAGCCAGGGGGCAGGCAGTAGGCAGGAGGGTGAGGGGCGGCCCTGGCTACTCCCCAGTCTCGGGGGCTGCGGGAGTCTGAGCTTTTCCTGACCACTCCATCACCCCGACCCCCCTTTTCCCACCTGGAGCCCCAGAGCTGGGGGCTGGGCCTTGGAGGTGAAGCAAGTGGTTGAAACTCCTCTGGGGCCCAGACATGCAAACCTCGGGCACCTCGGGCTGACCGAGCCCTGGCTAACCCTGGCTGGTGGGTGCTTCCCCCTCCGGCCTGTTTCCTTTTCTGAAATGTGGGGGCTGGGTGAGAAGTTCTCTCTGGCCCGTGACCCTCAGAGGAGAAGGACTGGAAGGAACCTTGGGGAATCCTCATGTGCCACCCCCCATTTTACAGATGAGGAAACTGAGGCCCAGAGGAGAAGACCTGGCGTCACTGTCCTCCAGCAAATCACAGAAGGGGGTTTATTAGGGAAGAACCAGGAGCAGGGGCCAGGGGAGAGGTGGGCAAGGAGCAGGGTCGGTCTCCCCGGCCCCTGAAAGGGACCCCACCTCCCAGGGGTCTCCCTCTCTGGCTCTCAGTCCTGGGCATTGTTTTGTAAGCAGCCTCCTCAGGATTACTTCATTCGATCTTTAAAATAGCACCTGAAGGGAGCGGGTGGGGGCGGGGTGAGTGTGTGTGTTTGCTTTAAACAAATGTTTTTTATTTTAAAAATCAAGGCATGCATTTTGTAGACACTTTGTAAGGTCTGAGGCAGCAATCTAGGATGGGGGCTCTGGAGAAATGGCCCGCAACCCAGCAGCCCCAGACCCCTCCTGGGTGGCCTACGTCATTGTCCTCGCGCTGTACCTGGGAGTTGGTGTCCCGACTGTCCCTTGTCCTTAAGTCCTTCGTAATCAAGCTGCAAACCTTGCCTGTGTTGGGAAAGTCTGCCCCTGGGGCATCTGGTTCTGGTCCGTTTGTGTAGTGGTCCCCCTCCATCCACAGTTTCACTTTTGGCTGACTGGGGTCAACCACGGCCTGGAAATGTCACATGTGAGGGTCCAGACATCAACAACTTGTGAGGTTGAAACAGCGCGCTGCTCTGAGTGGCCCCCCGAACTCTCGCGCTGCCCTGCCTGAGTCGTGAACCTGCCTTCGGCCTGCGTCTCCACGCGGTGCCCACTCCCTGCCCCTCAGTCACTTAGCCATCTCGGTTGTCAGAAACAACGCTGGGATTCACGTCACCCTTATTTCACTTAATGTGGCCCCAAAGCACCAAGGGTAGTGATGCCGGCGATTCTGATATGCCGAGACTCTAAGATACGTCAAGTCTTAAAGTGCTTCTTGTAAGTGAAAAGGTAAAAGTATTCTCCTTTAATAAGGTAGGGAAAGAAATTGTGTGCTGGAGCCGCTAAGATCTACAGTAAGAACAAATCTGTCTGTGAAATTGTGAAGGAGGGAAAAGAAATCCCTGCTGGTTTTGCTGTCGGTGCGTGGTAAGCGGTTAGGTAGAATGGAAAAAGCATTCCATATGTGAGCGCAAGGCATGGACAGAACCCTGGCCGGTGTGGCTCAGCGGGCTGAGCCTCGTCCCACAAACTGGAAGGTCGCCGGTTCGATTCCCCGGTCAGGGCCCAAGCCTGGATCACGGTTCCCCGTTCGGGTGGGTGTGAGAGGCAACTGATCAATGTTTGTCTCTCCTGTCGGTGTTTCCCTTCCTTCCTTTCTCCCTCCCATTCTCTCTGTAAATAAATAAATAAATAAAGCCAGTTTGTTTGTTTTTTTAAGACACTAGCAGAAAACATGTTCTAACCCATGGCAGTGCAGTGCCAGAAAGCGCTGCGCCCATACACACTGGAAAGGGGCTACATTCGCATGACTTTTACTACAATCTACTGTTCTGTTTTATTAGTAATTGTTCATCTCTTACTGAGCCTAATTTATAAATTAAACTTTATCATAGGTATGCCTGTGTAGGAAAACACAGCATATGTAGGGTCCCGGGCTCTGGCCACGGGCCGGGGGCCGGGCCACCTCGTGTGGCGCTGGGCAGGCCAGGGCACCTCCTAATGCAGGACTCTCTGCCTGAGTCTGTTTCCCAGAAGCAGAGTTGTTGCTACCAAAGGCTTTGACCTTTTTAAAGGCCCCTGTTGGCTGAATTGCTTTCCTGCCAATGGAGACCAGTTCAAGTCCATGGACAGAGGTTATACGGCCCATCCTGCGGACAGGAGAAGAGAGGCCCGGAGGGGTGACGGGATCTGGCCAGAGACACATAAGCAGAGCTGCAGCTGGGCTGGACCCAAGCTCCCAAGTCCCCCCCCCCACCCCCCCGCATGCCTGCCCCACGCGGAAGGTCACGCCCTAGGTGCCCTCTTTGAGGGACCGACTCCAGGTTCTACTCCTTGCTTTCATCACTACTCAAAGATTTCTGCCCCCAGCTGGTCTCTTTTTGCAGTAGGAGGGATCCAAGATAGACCCTGGAAGAACTGCTGTTTGGGGTGGGAACTGAGAGAAGCAGCCCCCTCCCCTTAGCCCGTGCGTCTGGCCTAAAGGAGGGTCAGGGGAGGGGCTGGCTGAAGTCTCGGTTCCTCCTGGGGCTTCCTGCAGGCACCTTTCACTTCCTGCCCCTGCAGCCCTGCACTCTGGGTGGGGGCGGGGCGTGCCAGCTGGTGAGCCCGGGAAGGAGGGGCCTGACCCCTGAGCTCCCCCTGTCTCAGCAAGGGCTGTCCCACTCAGCCCGTACCTTTAGAAGAGGGTGGCATCGCTCTGGGCCTGAATCCCTGTCTTCGAAATGGAGCCTGCCAGCGACCCAGCTGTTGGAGATTACAGGGGTCAAAGGGCAAGCAGGAGTGTCCAGTCCTACCTAGGAGTGCCTCCGCCTCCTTCCCTCCCCAGGACGCAGACACTTCCCGCCGAGCCCCCAACCCTCAGCAGCCCCCCCCCACTCCGGAAGTCAGTTTCCCAGAGCAGTTACCACCCCGTCGCTCATCCATTACTGCCCGTGGATCGCGCTGGATCCCCGACCCGCCTGCTTGTGCCAAGGCCACCTTGGGTGGTGCTGGGTCAGCCCCAGGCCCTGCCATTGGGTCCTAGGCTGATGGGGGAGACCGAGCATGACGCAATGACGGGACAGGGTGATCCCCTCCAGGGCCAGGGAGTGTCCCAAGCTGGGGGTGGGGGGGCGACTAATCCAGGGTCCCAGGGGGAGTGCTTTGAAGAATAGGAGGTGTGCCCTGAATCCTAAGGCGGTTTTCTTGCTGGGATGGAGCAGAGAAATGGCATTCCTGCCCCAGGGGACTAGGTGCGGAGGAGAGGGGGCGGGAGGGTCACGGGGGCAAGGGGAGGGGCTGGGGAGAGGGGCAGCGGGGCCTGAATCCCGGGACGGGCTGTCTGCTGCGCTGGGCCCGCCGCCTGCACACAGCCGTCCTCGGGGAACCCGGGCGCCCCTCCAGCCGCACTGTCGGTGTCTCACCCGCTCCCGTCCCCCCGAGAGGCCACCGGACTCCTCCGCACTCCTCTGGGCGGAATGAGCTCCTCTTTGCTCCGCTGCGGTGAACCAGGACCGACTCTTCCTCACCCAGAAATGAAATCTGACCCCTCTCCAGCCTGTGCCCCTGCCCCGCTGCCGGGTCCGGACCCCGGGTCCCAGTGGAGTAGCAGCGACTGCCCAAGGTCACACGCGGAGAGTCGGGAGAAGCCAGGAAGGCACGCAGAGCCTGCGTTCCGGCTCTGCTCCTTCCCGGGCCTCTTGAAGGTTGAGGGGCTGCCTGCCCCGGGAACACAGCACGGGTCCCAGCGCCCAGGGGACCTCGGAGCGCCTCTTCACTCCTTTGAGCTGCAGAGATTCTGGGGTCCAGCCCCGGGGGCATCGCGATTGCCAACCGCTAGGTGTTTGACCCAGACGGGCGGAGGACCGCGCGGGGGCGGGGTCAAGGGGAGAGGCGGGGCTGAGGGACCCTGAGCCCCAAGAGGGGCAAGAAAGGGGCGGGGCCAGGGGCTAGGGGCCGGGCGGAGGGAGGGCGAGGAAATCCAGGGAGGAGTCGGGGGAGCCGCGGCGACCCTACACTCCTCCAAACTTCTCCGCGCTCACGTGGCGTCCGAGTCCCCATGCGCCCCCTGAGCCAGAGGGGCCCAGATGCAGGGCACGGCCGGACTTTGGGGCAAGGTGTGGGGCAGGACACCTGCCCCTTGCGTTCTGGGCTCGGTGCCGACCTCGGAGTTGTGTCCCAGGAACCCGCAGGCGGGCGGGGCAGGCGGACGCGCCCCAGGTGGCCGAGCTGTGTGGCATTTGCCGAGGTCAGCCCTGTCCTCTCGGGATTCGTTTCTGCCCTACGGTCTTGGTGGCCAGCCCCGGGCTTCCATGTTCACAGGGGCTTGAAGATGGCGACTAATGGGGTCACTCCAGGCCAGGGGGATTAACTGTGATGTCCGGGGCAAGGCTCCCCGAGGCCCGGAAGCGGGGGGAGGGGAGGAGAGGGCTGGGGAGAGGGTGACCGGGGAGTTGGGACGGGAGGCTGAGCCCCAGCTCCCCGCACCCGGCAGCTCCACTGCCTGGCGACCTCAGGAGGCCCGGCACCCCCTCCCTCCCACAGGCAGCTGGAGCCTGAGTCACCAGCTGCCTGTCAGGGAGACAAAGCAGCCAGGGCCCTCCCCGCCAGACCCTCTTCCAGGGCTGGCACCCATCTGCGCTGGCAGGGAGTCCACAGGCTTCTGCCTGCAGTCTCTGCTCGACCCTGGAGAAAATGGAAGCACAAAGGGCTGGAATTAGGGCTTTGAGACTGGGGGCAGTACCCCTGGTGGCGATGGCCAGCTTCTCAGCCCAGGGGGCGGGGGGGGGGCGGGGGCGAGGCCAGGAGGCTGCCTGCCTCCAAGGGCGCCTCAGGCAGGACCAGCTGGCCTCTCCCTGCAGCCCTGTGGCAGAGGTGCTGGCAGCCCATCCTGCGGATGAGAACACCGAGGCCTAGAATGGCTGAATGGCCCTATTAGAGCAGAAATTTCAATCCCTGTTGGCCTGGCTCCAACACGCAGGATAAGGAGGAGCTTGCAGTGCGAGGGGCTGGGAAGGCTTCCAGGAAGAGAGACCGGCCTGTGGGAGGGGTGGGGGCTCCCAGAGGAGTCAGGGTGCCTCCAGTACTGGTCAGGCGGTTCTGTCGGGTGCTGGGTGTGCTGCCAGAGTGCAGGAACGAACGCCACTCGGGGCCGGGGCCCTCCAGCTTCTCTCTCTGTTGGCACTGAACTAGCCAGAGGGCAGGTTGGGGCTCACAGCCCAGGTTCCAGGCCAGACGCTGGCCCTTGCTGGCTGTGCGCCAGTCACAGCCGTTGCTTCCCCTGTCTGGGGCTTGGGTTTCTCCTCTCCAGGAAATCCCAGATACCCCTGGGCCCAGGGCTGGGCAGACTGGTCACCCACCACCTAACATGGGGACACTGGGGCACAGCACAGGCTTTCCCGAATGTCCACAACCTCTCGAGCCCCTGAGCCTTGCACGGCCAGAGCTGGGCACTGAGTGAGGCTCAGCAGTGAGGAAAGAACATGCTTTCACAGGTGCATCCGCACGGACACACACACACACACACACGTGTGCACACGTGCCCGTGGGGCAGGGAAGGCGCCCGTCACAGTAGCCCCCGGTGTGCACACTCGCTGAAATTCGTGAGCACGCAGGCACCGCCCACTGGCGCCGCCAGCACTCACAGCTGGGGGGCGGGGCAGGTGCCCTTCAGGCTCAGAGACTCGGCTCATCTGCCCGCCCCGCGGGGCTCGCTGCAGATGCCAGGGGTTATTTTAAGCCTGGATCAATGGACAATTTTTGGTGACACAGGCTTGGGGGCCGGCGAGCAGAGGAGACAAGGGGCAAGTGCTCCGGTACCGTGCTAGGGAGGGACACCCCCAGGCCCCGGAGGGCAGCCTGAGCAAAGGGGTCGCTCCAAAGCTGGCCCGACCTCGCTGCATGTGTGGATCCCCTTGCCCCCGGCACATGGCTGGGTACCTGGGGGTAGTGGCAGCTGAAGGGATGGCCAACGCCCAGGGCTCCACCAGCCAGCTGCGGTCTCTCCTTGCTTTGCCCCCTCCCGCCCCCGCCCCCCAGGCTGTCTGTTCACTCAGAGAGGGCGCTGAGTGCTGGGCGTGGGCCTGGTAGGTGTGGGGTCTCTGGTCGCTGGCTGGCCACGGAACCAGACTGGGATGGGGAGGCATCACGGGTGTGGGAGGAGCTGGAGGTTGGACCTCAGTCCCTGGGGGCGGGAGGGGACTGGAATACGTTCCTTTGTTGGACAAATGGAGATCATGTATGTATGTATGTGTGTGTGTGTGTATACATATATATGTATATATATATGATGGGGGTTAACATGAGGTGGGAGCTGAGCAGAGCGCCCACTGATGCCAGGGTAGTGGACACAAGACAGGAAGGCGCTCTGGGCCCAGGGAGTCACCCGGCCTGAGGAAGAGGCCGCAGCCCCGGGAGGCTGAGACAAGCCTTTCTAAGCCTGGTGCCCAGCAGCAGGGTGGGGAGTCGGCCGCCCTCAGAGCCCCGGGGAACCTGGAAGGCAGCTGGGCAGGGGGCGGGTGGGGGCACGGATCCAAGCCGGACTGTGCTGTGGATTCTCTTCCTCCAGGAAGCAGGAAAGGACACACCAGCAAACACGGCCACAACGTCCTAAGCAGAAGAACAAACTGGAAGTTTGGCATCAACATGTGAACTAAGCGAAGGGAGCCAAATGCATGGTGATGGAAGGTAACTGAAAAAAGGGTAAACAGCCCTGGCTGGCGTAGCTCAGTGGATTGAGCGCGGGCTGGGAACCAAAGTGTCCCAGGTTCAATTCCCAGTCAGGGCACATGCCTGGGTTGCAGGCCATAACCCCCAGCAACCACACATTGATGTCTCTCTCTCTCTCTCTATCTCCCTCCCTTCCCTCTCTAAAATAAATAAATAAATAAATAAATAAAATATATAAAAAAAGGGTAAACAAAACCATTTACAGAGTGGTGTGTAAAGTGTGACATATTTTAGCGTCAGCTGTCCCCGGTGGTGGGATTAAGGCCATTTCGTTTCATTCCTTTGCTTATTTCCTTTTTCTCCAGGTTTGTAACAGTGTTTCATCGGGCTGGGGTCTTCCGGTCTGGACCAGAGGCAGCCTGTGGGTGGAGGAGGGGGAGGGGCTGTCTTTAGCTAGGGCCCGAGGAATCGCCCTGAGGGGGGTGGGTGTTGGGGGGAGGCCACCCCCCTCCTTTCCTGTCTTAGCCCACTAATACCTGGAATTAGCCTGTCAGCCCCTCATCTCAGCAACAGGGCTTGATCCTCCTTAAAATGTAAATCCTTCTCCCTCTTCTCCCACCTCCTCTGTGTTTACCAGCCGACCCCAGTCGCCCAGTGAAGACGGGATGCGCAGGCGAGCAGACCCCGTGGGCCGGAATTCTTCCCGTTATAGGCACTAGAGCCCAGAGTCATTCATTCATTCATTCATTCATTCGTTCAGCAGAGAGGGCGCAGCCCTGCGCTCCGGGGAGACACTGGGCAGACCCCCTTGGTGTTTCCGTCTGGATGAGGGGAGACACCACAGTGACCCTGCCCCTTGGAGGGGGCACGAGATGAATCTGCTCCCCCCCCCAGGAAGAGTTTTGCATGTTAAGATGAGAGACCGAGGCGGAGAGAAGCGAGGCGCTGCTGCTGGTTCGCGTTCTCCAGGTAGACCCGATCTAGGTAAACAAGGCCCAGCGAGCTCTCGGCCAGTCGGTCCACCTTCCCGGCCCGCCCCCTGGCCCGGGGCTTGTGAAAGGACGCGAGGGTCCTGCGGGGGGGGGCCCCCCGTGGAGCGTCCGCCAGTGGCCCCGCCCCCTTCGCCGCAGGCCTGGGCTCGCCTCGTTGACCCCGGGTCACACACAGGGTGGCGGGGCGAGCTCTGGAAGGCTCCGGCCCGGCCGTGCCCGGGGGCACCGTAGATACCCCGACACCTCAAGACCCCAACCCGGTGTCCAGGAGGTTCTGGGACCAGGGCGCGAGCCCCTGCGTTAGCGCTGCGCCCCGGGCCGCGGGCGGGGGGGACCCACATTTGTCCCTGTGCAGCGGCTGTGCTGGGGGTCTCCTTCCCAGGTGACCTGCGGGAGCAACCGGCAGGCAGAGAGGGGAAAGGGCCTCCCTGTCTGGTCAGAACTGACGGAGGGGGCGCGAAGGAGGCGCAGGGGTGGGGGGGCAGCAACAGCATTCACCGGCCGCTCTGTCCCCGCGGTGGCCTCACCTGTAAGACACAGGCGCGCCGCCGCGGGCCCGGTGTCCGAAGCACCAGCCCGGAGGGCCGAAGCCGAGCCCTCGGAGCGCCCAGTTCCGAGGAACGACCTGGGGGGGCCTTCGGGGCAGGTCCCGAGGGGCGTCCGGGCTGTGCGCGCCCCGCCGCGTCCCCTCCCGCCCCTGGAGGCGGCCGCGCTCCTCCTCCGGCTCCGCTCGCTCCTTCCCGCGCTCCCTCCCTCCCTCCCCCGCCCGCCCTAGTCCGCGCTAAGCCGGAGCCGGAGCCGCGAGCAGAGCGCGGGCAGCGCAGAGCGGGCGGCGGGAAAGCCATCCCCGCTAGGCCCGGGACCCGCACACCCGCTGGGCCGGGGAGAGGCCCGGGGCCGCGCGCAGGTGAGGACCGCCGCCCGGACCGGGGGACGTCCCGGGGCGCAGACTGGCCGGCTGGAGTCCGAGGTGCGCCGAGGCGGAGGACGCGCCCACCGGCCCCGAGACCTCGGGTCGAGCCCACCGGGCTCTGGGGTCCTCGGAGGAGGCTGTCGGCCGAGGAGGCATCCGCCGGGAGCCAGCGCCTGGGGAGCCGGCCCCGCGCGACCCCTGCGGGCACGGAGGGAGCCGCGGCGCGCCGCCATGCGCGGGGCGCTGTAGCCGAAGGTGCGGGCCCGATGGAGCGGGCCAGCGCGCGGGAGCTGCGCCGTGGCTACGGCCCGCCGGCGCTCCGGCTCGCGCTGGCGCTGTTGCTGCTTCTGGCGCGGCCGCCGTCGGGCGGCGCGGGGGCCCCCGACGCGCAGGAGGCCGCGGCCCCCAGCACGGCGGCCCCGGCCGGCGGCGACCGCTGCCGGGGCTACTACGACGTGATGGGCCAGTGGGACCCGCCCTTCAACTGCAGCTCGGGCCCCTACAGCTTCTGCTGCGGCACGTGCGGCTACCGCTTTTGCTGCCACGACGGGCCACGGCGCCTGGACCAGAGCCGCTGTTCCAACTACGACACGCCGGCCTGGGTGCAGACCGGCCGGCCGCCGGCGCGGGCCCGAGACCCCGCCGTGCCCCGCGACCCGGGCCGCGAGCGCAGCCACATGGCGGTGTACGCGGTGTGCGGCGTCGCCGCGCTGCTCGTGCTGGCCGGCATCGGCGTGCGCCTGGGCCTGGAGAAGGCGCACAGTCCGCGCGCGCGGCGCACGGTGACCAGGTGAGCGCGCGCCGACCGACCGGGGGCCCCCGCACGTTCCGCTCGGACAGCCCGACCACGCGGCGGGCGCCTCCTCGCTGCCCTTGGTCCTTCGTGCCCGTCTCGGAGCCCCGGGCCTCTGCACAGCCCCCTCCTCCGGGTCCTTCCTCCCTGCCTCTGTCTCCAGCCCTGTCTCCCCGCAGTCCCCACTTCACGGAGGGAGACAGCTGACACCGCCCTGTCTCCCCTTGACCTTCCGGCAGAGCTGGGTGCTGGGCCGCCCTCCCCCGCGGCTCCGCGCCGCCTCCTGAGTGGGCAGAGGGCGCCATGTCAGCGCCCAGGGGAGGGGGTCTGGGGCCCGAGCCCCAGCACCATGGGGTGGGGGCGGGGCGTAGGGTTGGGTGTCTTGGGCGGGAAAGGAACGCGGGTGGGGGCCTGTTCTGTGGCCCTCTCGGCTGTCTCCAGCTTCTCCCCCCCCACTTCGCCCTCCTCCCACCTCTCTCCCTGCCCTCCTAGCTGTGACTCAGGCCTGACCTTTCCTTTAGGTTTCAGAAGGCCCCCCCAGCTCACCCCACTCAGTACCCCTAGAAAGGGGCGGGCGCGTGTGGGAGGCCTAGACAGGGGCTTGCTGAGTCCTGAGCTCTGTGTGAAGTGGCTCGTCCAGGACCCGGTTCCCCTCCTCCCCGGGTTAGGGACTCAGGGACTCTGCGTCCTGACCCTGGAACCCTCGCCCACACCCCCCACCCTCACATGCCTCCAGCCACCCTCGTGTCCTGGGGGTTTGGCCCTCCTCGCTCACCCAGGTCCTGTTCCCCTTGGGGGGCACGGAGCTTGCTGACACTGCATGTGACAAGCTAGTACTCAGAAGTGACAACAACAGAAGTTCCCAGGCCCGGGGGGGCCAGCTGTGGATGCTTCCCCCCTCCTAGACCTCAGGGACAGAGGATCGGCGCTTCCTTGGAGCCCCACAGCACCCCTGGTCCCCAGGGGTCACCCCTCCCAGACAGCTGCAGGGCAGAGCTGGGCTGGAACCTGTGGAGGCTCTGAGCCCAGGCCCCGCATGCTGCAAGGGAAGGGCCGGGGCCCCCTGGGCTTGAAGTCCTTCACTCGTGGGGAGGGGGGAGAGGATAGGGCACGTCCTTGACCCGAGTGGGGCGGCAGGACCTAGGGCTGTGATGGTAGAGGGGGGCGGGGTGACTGGGGCAGCCTCGCTGACACGTTCACCTTGAACCGGCTTCAGCTGCGCGGACTGGGAAGGGAGGCAGGTCTGGTGGAGCTTCCGGGAGAGCCGGCCCTCGCGTAATGTGCTGAGGCCAGGGCCAGTCCTGCCATCCTTGAGCTTTGGGCTCCCTGTGTCCTGACCCCCTTTTCTCCCGTGGGGACACCTGAAACCCACCCTGAGCTCACCCGCGGGTGTGTTGTGAACTCCTGTGCTCCCACCACGTCTCCCCTTAACTCTGCCATGTCGGGATGGATGGTCAGGAAAGGCTCCGCAGAGGGCTGAGACGGGAGCTGGAGTCTGTCCCTAGAGACAGTTTGTGCAAAGGCCCGAAGGAATGAAAATTGCTCGGGTGTCTGGGAGAGCTGGCGGAGGGGTGTGTGCCCAGAGATGTGGTGGGCTGGGCAGCACGCGCAGGTCAGCTCAGGCAGGCACAAGGCGGCTCCCAGACCCTGCCGCACCTCGGCCAAACCGCGCCTGCCCCCGGTGTCCCACCTCCAGTGCGATTCTTCATGAGCGAGCCATCATGGGAGGCCCCGGCCCTGAAGGGGGTCAGAGCAAGCTGGGAGACAGTCATGGCTTGTGGGCACTGAAGGCAGCTGGGCTGCGGCCTGGGCCTGGCTGTCCGCTGGGAAGGCTACGTCAGACGCTGCCACAGCTGGATTGGGGCCGGGTGTCCTTGTACCCGGGGGGGGGGGCCACTGCCCAAGGTCACACAGCCTTTGATGTTGGGCTGCCACAGGGGCCTCCGGGCTCCCTCTGGCTCACCTGTCCGTCCTCCATACCTGTGCCGGCAGCTACATCCCAGGACCCGGCAGAAGATGCCGCTGCAGGAGGGGAGTTAGGTAGACACCCCCCCCCCCCGTTTTTAATATTCACCCAAGGATGTAGTTTTATAGATTTTAGAGAGGGAGGCGGGAGGAGGGAGGAGAGAGAGGGGAGCAAACATTGATGTGAGAGAGAAACATCGGTTGGTTGCCCCTCACATGCGCCCTGACCGGGGAACGAACCCCGAGCCTAGGCATGTGCCCCGACTGGGGATCAGACCCACAACCTGTCCTGGTGTGCAGGCGATGCTGCAGTCAGCTGAGCCACCCGGCCAGAGGGCTAGGTGGGACTTCCCGAGGCTTCCTGGAGGAGGCACGCTGGTGGGGCTTGAAGAACGGTGGCGTTATGGGAGGAGGTGGAGGAAAGGTGCTGTTGGCAGAAGTAGCAGCACGAGCAGGTCCTGGAGACGGATGCGCTCACAGGACTTGTGTCGAGGGAGGAGGCTGAAGTCAAGGGTCTCGGAGAGTGGACTCCAGCAGGGGCGGAGGGTTTGGAGAACAAGGTGGCCTTGGTTACCTGTGGGCCACTGGCTTCCTCACCTGCTGTGGGAAGTAGCCGTGTCGGGGCCACAGGTTGTGCCTGGTGGGGGAGACTAGATGCGTAAGGTCAACCAGAGGGGAGCAGAGGGGAGGCCCAGAGAGGCCGAGAGAGTTGCCCAGGGCCACGCAGCGAGGCAGTGGTGGCCGGCCGGGGCTGGCCTCCCACAGGGCAGAGCCTGGGCGATGGCGGAGCAGGGACCCCTGGGGGGTGCTGCTTCTCATCACTCTCTCTCGCAGGACACTGACGGAGCTTCTGAAGCAGCCCGGCCCGCAGGAGCCACTGCCTCCGCCTCTGGGTCCACCTGTGGGCAGCTATGTCCAGGTGCAGATGGGCGATGGCCTCCTCCGGGGCTCCCCCCACAACAGCACAGGTAAGCGGGCCGATGGGGGGGCACTGGGTCCCCCTGGTCTGTCATGGGCCTGGGGGCAAGGGAAGGGCTGTGCGGAGGGGCCAGAGGCTCTGGGAAGACTGCTTCCCAGACGGATGTGAGCCGCTGCCTCCGCAGGTGTGAGTGGGGGATGGGCGCGCAGGTAGGCTCCCCCAGGTGGATGGAAACCCTCTGAGGGGTCCTGCAACCTCCAGCCTCAGGGACTCCAGGGAGGTTCCAGGTAAGGGGATTGCTGGCTCAGGCTGTGGTTCCAGGCTCCAGCTCGGCACCCTGGGGTGTGCCTGGCCAGGGTCTGTGGCCTCCTGCAGGTCCCTTCCTCTAGGCCCGAGCCTCCCTCTGGGCCTCTTGTTGTAGAGCAGGCTTGACGGCACCCCCCAACACACACACACACACACACACACACACACACACCCCGTGGGCTCTAATGCCCAGACATTCCCTCCCTCTCCGCCGGGTCAGGTCCTGGGACTCAGTGCCTGGCTCACGCTGAATACGCTGGCGAATCATCCCATTAGGTTAGCACCCACTTAGGACTGGCTGCTCTTCATGTTATTCTGCGCCAGGCCCTGTTCCGGACGCTGGAAATGGTGCCATGGAGACAGGTTCCACTTTCAGTCTCACCCAAAGAGCCACCCAACTGAGCTGCCATTGGAGAGAGGGCCGAAGAGGTGGCGGGGTACGTGCAGAGAGCCCTCTGGTCAGCGGGCTGAGTCTCGTCTTCCCTTTCCCCCGCTCTAGACAAGAAACGCCACAACGGGCCCCTGGGGTCGGCGGCGACCCTGGGCCCCCAGCGTGGCCCCCGGCTGCAGGGCGGCGGCGGCAGCAGGACGCTGCAGCCCGACTACGCTAAGTACGCCACCCTCAAGGCGGCCGCGCTGAAGGCCTCAGGTGAGTGGCCGAGCCTGTGGGAGGAGCGCGGGGCCCACTGGAGTGGCGGAGACCCCCAGCCTGGCTGGTCTGCGCTCCAGCAGCTTCTACAGGGGGCGCCCCTCACCGCAGCCGTGCGCCGCACCCGGGCCGGGCCGACTGGCTGGGACCCCTTGCCCGACCCAGAGCCCCCAGGCGTGGAAAGCCGCGTCTCAGACGGCCTATCCCCGCCCCGCCCCACCCCCAACACGCCCGCTCTGTCCCCACAGAGGCCTCCCCGCAGGACTTCTACCAGCATTTTCCGGCGCCCGCCCCCGCCCCACGGACCCTGCCGGCGCGCGCCCCACGGCCCCCCGAGGACTTGCCCGCGCTGCCTGACGCCTGCCCATGGGCCCCTCCGGGCTATGCGCCCCCCGCCGGCCCCGCCCCGACGGGCCACTGCAAGGCCTGGACCACCAGCCGCCTGGCCCGGCCTGCCCCCCGCAGCCACCTGGCGGCTCAGGCGTCCCCTGCCCCCCCGCGGTCCGGCCGCCCGCCCCGGCGCCAGTTCAGCGTGAAGAAGCTGCCCGAAGGCTTTGGCACGCAGCCCCCCGGCCTCTACGGCTGCGCGGGCCCTGCCCTCGGGCACCTGAGCACCAACAGCAAAGCCGAGGTCACCGTGTGAAGGCGGGGCTGTTGGCTCTTCCGAGGCATCGCGTCTACCAGGGATCCGCCGTCCGCCTGGCCCAGGGGCCCAGGCCACAAGGGGCAGGGGCACCGCCAGCGCGAGTCCAGCCGTTCTGCCTGGCCGAACCGGACGGCGGCCCTTGGAGCCCGCAGGGCTAAGGAGGGGCCTGTCCCGGGGGCCCTAGGGCCCAGGTTCCTCGTGTAAATAAACCGTACTCTGTGGCTCCCACCCCTGAGAATAAAGGAGCCCCAGCTTGGGTCTGAGCGGAGCTGACGGCGGAGGCGTTGGTCATTGACTGGACAGACGGTGGTGCGGGCGGAGGGCGCAGCCTGTGCACAGCAGAGGCCTGTTCCCGAGCGCTCTGGGGCGTGTGTGTTCTAGGAGCTGGGAAGCAGCGGCTGGAGGGGTGGTCAGGGCTGAAGGCCAGGCTTAATGTCCACACCAGTGGACCCTCGGGGCTGGGGGCAGTTAGGCCCTAGCCGTCTGGAGGCTTGCGCACAGGTGAGAGGGCGGAGGGGCCATCACCCCCTGACTGGCGGTGAGCACCCCTCCAGAGGACCCCCCCCCACACTCTGCAGCTTGAGTTGGTGGAGCCAGGCTGATCCTCACTGACACAATTTGGCACCGGGCCGGACCCTGGGCTGCAGGCCACTTGGTCAGCTTGGCCCAGATCCACCCCCCTAATGGGTGTGGGCACTGGGCCCGGGAGACAGCTGGTGCTCAGGATGGCCGGGCCTCCCCGCAGTAACTGCTGTGGAGGGAAAGGGGACTGGAGACGCTGGCCCCAGAGCCTCAGCAGCGCCCCCACATGGGTGCTCACACCACACGCATGCGTGGCCAGCTCTCCCCCTTCCTGCCAGGCAGGCGTTGGGTGGTACCTGGCTGCGGCCCAGGGCAGTGCCAACTGCCCGAGTGCATCAACCTTCTGTGACAGGTACTGCTTGGGGGGGGGATGCGGGGTTGAGGGCCAGGCTGTGACCCTCATTGTGTGACCTCAACAAAGCCAGCCGGGTGGGCCTTTTTCCCCTCGGCACCCTAGGCGTGGCGTCCTGTCTGAGTAACAGTGGCCGCCATTTGTAGCTGTTTCTTTCATTTAAGCCTCACAGAGACCCCATGGGAATGCCACTTTACAGATGAGGAAAACTGAGGCTTTGAGACCTCAGTACCTTGCCAAGATCACCCAGCTGACTCCAGTTTGGGACCCTTCCATGTTCTGCTGCCACTGCGGCCCTGCGGGATGGCAGGCAGCGGCGGCGGCGGGGGACGCATCTGTGTTGGCAGGGAGCGGCCCCTGCTCCCAGGGTACAGACAGTCTCAGGTTTCCTGAGGCGCCCAAACCCACCAGCTCTTCACCCCCGTCCCTACAGGCTGTTGAAACCAAGGCCCAGAAGCCCCAGGACAGCGGAGCCCAGGGCCTGCAGTGAGGGCCCCAGTGGTCGCTGGGAAGACAGCCTCACGCCCTCAACCCAGGGTGGGGTGGGTACCGAGTCCTGCAGCCAGCCCGGACTCACAAGAAGGATCCGGTTCCCGGGCACACTGACCACCCACGATCACCCACCCTGGTGACTCAGGCCCTGGCTCTCCACCCCACGGGGTCCGGTTTGGGCGTGGGCATGACCGTGAACGGGAACTGTGCGTGGGACCCGGTGCCGCTGGGCCTCTGCTCTCGGGGCTGCGCTTGCCCTCGGGACAGTGGCTTGCTGGGACGGCCCTTCGGAGAAGGCCGTGGCTGAGAGAGCTGAGGGGTCTGGGACCGTTTCTCAGCTGGGCTGGGCTACCATGAACTTCAGCACCCCGGCTCCGCCTCCACGCGGCCCAGCACGCTCCCCTCCCCACTGCGCCCGTTGCCCTGCCTGGCCCCTCACAGCCTCACCGGCACTTAATGTGAACTGGCAGGTTCCTGTCGGCCAGCAAACCTGGAGGGCTGCAGCCAAAGGCAGGGGCTGTCGCCCCCGTTCTGCACACGCGGACGGAGAGGCGGAGCGACATCCTGCCTGAGGTGACCCAGCGGGGGACTCACAGGTGCTGGGCTCGGATGTGACTTGCGGGCCAGGAGTCTCCTCAGAGGCCTGCTGCCTCTCGGGAGGATGGGGAGGGACACTGAGGGGTGGCCCACCCAGTGGGGGAGAGTGGTGTCTCAGAGGGGTGAGCACAGAGGGCTTAGCACCCCAAATCCGAAAGAACCGCTCGCTGCTGTCAGTGGAACAGCCAGCTCTGTCCTGGCTGCGTGACCACCGACGGAGCAGCACCCCCCCCACCCTCAGCTCTGTCCCAGCCCCGCCTGGGGTGTGCGCCAGGCAGCCGGCGCCGGAAGGGAGGGGCCAGGCGCCTGGTGGTAGCGTGTGCGGGGCTGTGGGCGGGGGGTGGTGGTGGCAAGGAAGCCCCAAGTGAACGAGGCCTCTGGGGCCTCTCGGCACAGAGGGCAGGCCCGTCCTCGGCCCCGGCCCCCTGGGGGCCACGCCACGCAGCCGCCCGGCTAGTCCCCACAGCGGTCACGCTACAGAGCCTCTCACACTCCATGCAGGGTGGTACCAATCTGTGTTTATTGAATGACCTCCATCCAGGACAGGGTGCACGGCTGATTCAACATCAAGGCTGCCATAGGCGCACCCCCCTTTTCCGTGAAAAACCGCCCCCTCCCACCCCGAAACAATGATGAGAAAAGGCACAGTATCTACACGACACTAGGGCTGGCCCGCCCTGTGGCCAGGGGCCATAAATTAGTGGGGGGAGGAGGTCGAGGCCAGGGGGAGAAGGTGGGCGTGGTCCAAGCTGCCCCACTCGGGTCAGGGCGCCCCGCCTGTTCTCCCCCCAAGCAGCCTGTGGGGGTGAGAAATGCGAGGGGGTGGGGGGGAGCCCGCTCAGGCTCCCTCCTGGGGGCTGTGGGGTGCCGAGTGCCCCAGGCTCTGAAGAAACAGCCTCAGAGGAGGCCCCAGGCCAGGGAATCTGAAAGTGGGGCCACTTTTCCTCTCAGAACTTCAATCGAGGCAGGGACCCCATTCCTAGTGCCCACCCCACAAAGGGGCTCGTCACTGGGGCGCTGGTCCCTACCACCCTGGCTTATTTTCAGGTCAAGAACTAGGGATAAAAACAGACCATGGAGGTAGGAGTTGGGTGGGGGGGGTGGGGGGGGACGGACTGAGAGCCCACGCTGAAGGACACGGTCCCCAGTCCCAATGGGGGTGGCTTCATCTCCCCCAGGCCCTGGGCCTACCCTCAGCCTGGGCTGACTCCCCAGGGGCTGGGGGAGTGGGAAGGAACAGGACAATTAAATAAGATACCATTTATTTTTTAAAAAATTAAAAAATAATGCCGACATTATTTCATCCACCCCCAGGCTCGCCCCCGTCCCCCGCCACCCCCTTCCCCGGGGCTGCCGGGTCCTCCTTCCCGGGCTGTCCTGCGTGATAGAGTGGGCTCAAGGAGCCGGCTCCGTCGGGCACGGGGGAGGGGACGCAGGCCCAGGGAGAGAAACAAAAATGCCACAGCAACTTAGTCCTGCGTCACGGCAAACCCAAGCACACGGATATAAAAACATCTGTATAAAAACGGGGAGAGGGCGTGCCGGGCACAGGGCCGAGGGCGAAGTGCTCAGGTGCCCAAACCGCAGTCCCCAGAGGGGCCGCCTGATAAAAAACATGGACGCGGGAAAGGGGGGAGAGACATACAGAGGAAGAGTCTGGGGAGGCTGGAGCCGGGCTGGGCAGCCCGGGGGCGGGATCCCCCGTTGCTTTCGAGTCAGGGTAACCCCATTCCCGCCCCGACCGGCCCTGGACCGTCGGGCATCGCCCCACAGCCCAGGGGTCCGCCGGTCTGCAGTGGTCCGTGAGCCCCGCCAGGTGAGGGCTCGGAACGAAGGCTCATCCCCAGCTCCAGGGGGAGCGGGGAGGGAGAGACTGAGAGACAGTGAGAGAGGAGGGGAGGCCGAGAGACCAAAGGGGAGATGGGGACAGAGGGGGGCGGCGGCGGTGGCCGAGGCGGGGGGGGGGGGGGGGCCCAGTGGTCAGGAGGCGGCGATGGCGGTGCCGCCTCCCAGCTTGACAATCATCTGCTGGCAGTCGCTGCAGGAGCGCCGGTCGCCCACCTTCTCCAGCGTGCGGGCGGCCTCCGCCAGCAGCACCGCCCGCTGGCCGGGGGACGAGAGGAAGGACAGGGGCAGGTGCCGGCAGGCCAGCAGGATGGCCGTGGCCCGCTCTCGCTGGCCGGGCCAGGCGTCCACCTCCCCTGTGGGAACAAGGGGGCAGGTGTAGGAACCGCTCGCTGACAGCCCCCTGGAGCACAGGTCCTCCTCCCGGGCTCGGTGTGGACTTGGCTATTCAGTCCTCACGCCTGCCCAGGGAGGTGGGTCCCAGTGCCCGCGCTCCCTCCCTCCACGGACAGGGCGAGATGCACCTGGCTGGCACCACACGGCTGTCCTCATGTGGTGCCGTGAGAAGCGGGCCACGCTGCCAGTCCGGCTTCTGCATCCGGGCAATACCCCAGCCCTCCCCTCCCCACCCTGCGGCCGCACCCACAACAAGCCCACCCCCACAGCACCTTCACGGACCCTCCCGGGAAACACACCCAGGCAAGCCTTGGGCTGCCCTCACTCAGCGCACCTCCGAGGACATGGCCGAGTGAGTGCTGGGCCGGGGGCTGCCCCCGCTCCGGCAGGGCCTGCACCAAGCCCTCGGGCTGGGGGGCTGGGGCACCGGGGGACTCACCGTGCTTGGTGCTCTGAGCCGTGCGCCGCCGCAGGCTGTGCTCCAGCAGCTGGTGGGTGCGGGTGGGGCTGGCTCCCGCCATCAGGCGCACTGTGGCTTCGTGCAGGAACACCTGGGGAGGCACAGGGGCGACACCCCGGGTGAAGCCCTGGGTCTTCTCCAGTCTGTGCCCCAGCATGTGCAGGCGCCGTCCCTGCAGCACCGCCTGCCACCTGACGACACCCCGTCTCTCCGCACTGCCTTGCCCCGCTCACCCCTGGAAAGCCACCTCTGCCGTCCGCACTCTGACCCGGTACGAGCCAGCAAGGTGGGGGAATGGCAGCAGCACAGGCCAGCCAGAAGGGGCAACAGCCGGCAGGGGCAACAGCCGGACGACGAGGGAGCGAGAGCGAAGGGCGGCGAGGGACGAAGACGGCACAGCCACGCCTCTGGGCCTCGGGAGACAAGTACCCGGGTGAGGCCTCCAGTCCGTGGAGGCTGCTCCACGTTGAAAACAGGACAGGATGGGAGGTGGGGACAGGAGCACTACTGGGGGGCGGGGGGCAGGTAGCTAGGCTGGTGCCAC